ATAAATATAATTATAGTGTCATTAAAAAAACTGGCAGTTTTTTTTAAAGAAAGGATCAACTTTACTTTACTTGTTATTGGAATTGTAGCTTCCCATACATATTTTGCATATTCTTTTAATCAATTAAGACAGATTCAGTAAGAATTTCATAGATTTCAATTTTTTGCATTTTGTTTTAAAAATCCCACAATTTTTAACATTTTTGTATGAAAGTCCCTTAATTTCTTATTTTGAAACAAAATTTCCCTCATTTTTGTCTATTTTTAAGAATCCCTCAATTATAACATTTTGAAAGGCAAAAATCTCTCATTATTTAGCATTTAGACACAAAATACCCTAAATTTAGCATTTAAAAGAATCCCTTGATTTTAGCAATTTGATGTCAAAATCCCTCAAAGAAGGACAATTTTATTAATTATGTACATTATTACATGTATTTAGCAATGGTAAGGGTTAAAAGTGTTTCATGAAACATTTTGTTTAATTTGTAAATCAACAAGTGTTGTAACTTGTGTTTATATATGATGAATTAAAATTTTGCTTGTAGTATCTATATGGGTTACTTCTGTTAAAGGATGACTGTGATTATATGTTTTAAGAAAATAATTCAAGAGAGCTATTCTCCATTCAGTAATTACAAAATGACTGCCAGCTTGAGAAAACAACCTTTAACTCAATTGCTTTGTATTAATTTCTTAAATAAATGCAATCCTGCTCTTGAAATAAATAAATAAAAAAAACATTTGAAATTTTCTTATTATTACCTATTCATATTTATCTTAACGTCTTTGATGGCGTAAACATTTTTTGACGTCATTTGTAAACATCTTTTGATTAACTAGTAAACACGTTATTTGTGCTGAGACTAACCTAACGGGGAGGGTTAATACTTAAGCTACTGAGTTAAATTGTGATTATCACGTCAGTATAGCTATTATAATAAGCGGACTGTACACTGTTTGTTGACTCGGGGTTCCTCATTAACCGCCATATGAACACAGTCCTGCAGATATTACAAAATTTAAAATTATTAAAATTACACACTTTTCCACAAGCTGGAGTTACGGGAAGTTGACGATGGCTTACTATAAACACTACCAGTTATGACATGAGCATGCAAATTGTTCAATTTATCCGTGTTCTCGACCATTAAGGTTTCCTACTAATATGTTTACTATTATAATGGGATCCCTCCGTACATATGTATGTCTTCTTATGGTTGTACTGTCAATAACTGGATTTGAAATAAGCGGCGGTTTATATAACTTGTTTTGTACATTGCCTATGGTCAGTGAATGACCCCTATTTATAATTATAATGAGGTCATTAGGTCAAGGTCACTGCCACACTGTGTATAATCCTTGTCCTATCATTTACATTAACTAGAGCAATCCATGTTCGTTGAACTTGCAAGGGACATTATCCAAGGTCACATTGACAGTTGATTTATTAAATCCTGATCTATTCAATAACTAGAGTCTCCCCAGTCATAGATTTGTGAAACTTATTATGCCACTGTGAAAGGCAAATGAAAACTGTATACTAATGTCCTATGGACACATGTCCAGTTGTTAATGTGTGTGTGCGCGCATGCGTGTTTGAGTGCATATTTCAGAACGATACATTAATAATTGAAGATTAATGTTACTTTGTTATAACTTTTTAAAACATATTTTATTTATCTTATTTTTGCCTTTTTGAGGTGTATGTAATTGTGTGTAATTTGATTATAGTCGTGATGTATAAAAAAAACAGAACGAAAAAATAGAATCCAGTTGTTCCCTGTGAAGTAGTTTATCTAAACACCACATTTGAACTCAATTTGAAATATTTATTTTTCCAACTGTCTCGGTATGATAGAAATTACAAAGTTAGAAGATGTAATGATTATCTTGTAGCTCATAATGTATTAGCAAAATGCAAATTCTAGTTTAATTGATTCATAATCTTAATCTGCTTCTTTTTGTTTCTGTATTTGAGCCGTGTTACGACAAAATCAACGTAATGCGTTTGCGACCAGCACGGATCCAGACCAGCCTGCACATCCGCGCAGTCTGATCAGGATTCATGCTATTCGCTTACCAACCCTTTTACAAGTCCAGAAACTGATAGCGAACAGCATGGATCCTGATCAGACTGCGCGGATGCGCAGGCTGGTCTGGATCCATGCTGGTCGCAAACCCACTATGTTGGTTTTGTCATAATGCGGCTCATTTCTTAATCATTTGAGATAAAAGGCCGGGCATTTTACAAACTTAGCCTGCGAATTGGGTAAATGAAATTTATAAAATCACATAAAAGATGTTTATTATCATACCCTTTAAATGATTGTTCTGTATTTTTTATGCGACACGAAACTGACTTGTCTTTAAATTTTGTGGTGAAAATGAGTTACAAATACATTTATTAACATTTATTTACTATAAGAGTTGGTTGTTTGTTTGTTTGAATGATTTTTTGATATAAAAAAAGAAGAAAGAACGAAGAAAAGTTTTGTTGTTGTGTTTTATTAGCTCAATATAACAGAGTCCAGGGTGATCAAGTTCATTTTCAAGTTCCTTTAGACAGTCGGGTCATTCGGCATGTCAAAATCAGGGTCTTTCAGATAGAAAGAGGGTCTTCCAGACAGAAAGACCCTGTCAAAATAGAATTTGGGAAAAAATTAATCAGAATCTCCATCGTCAAAGCGTGAAGTTTCTCATGTGTCAATACACTGTCACCTGAATACGAGATCGACATGCAGCGTAATGCCATGTTTTCAAAGTACTTCATCAATCCGGTCGGTGTGTTCATCAAGTTCAATGTAAACGTAAAAATTAAGCGTTATTGGTGTGGTTATGGTCGTTGATTTCAAACCATTCGCCCCTCGCCTTTGTGGGTTCGAGTCCCGCCAGGGACTTTTGATAACAGTTATCTATCCAGCTAGCTCACATGGTTCTACTCAGGTGCCTGTTTGTGTCTGAAATAATGCACAGAGGGACTCCTGAGGTTTATTGTGTTGGTGCGATGCAAAACCTAACAAAAATAAATAAAAGAAAACAAAAGTTATCAACTAATTTTGATATTTCCGAAAGGCATTTCCATTATTTCAAATGAAAGGTACAATAAAGGGTGTTTGAAGTATATCAGATAGAAACTTCCGTTATTTCTAAAAGGTACTTCAGATAGACACTTCCAGTTATTAAGAAAGGCTGGAAAACTGTTTAAAATTATTTACGTATTCGAGTACATATACGAACTTGAATACTATACTGCGCGTACAGCGTCTTTTCCATAATCACACTAAACCTCTAAAATGCTTTAAACGTGCGGATACATCAGGAACGTCAATTGTTTCGGACATTGGTACAGCAACTTATAGCTGTGGAGGGGTTGATTTCAGAGAGGGTGTCTCCTCCCATCGCATGAGGACATTTTGGATTCTGGTGATAAAAAATGTGTTATTTCCTAAAAGTTCCTACAAGTTTTTTTGCTGTTGATAAAGTTACACATTAAAAATAGCGTTTATTTGCGTAATGAGGTTCAATAAGGGGTGTCCACCCATGAGTCTTATCAATATTTATCTTAATTTAATAAAGGCTAATGAAAAGAACCACCACGTATAAAAGAATAAGTAGTTTATAATATAATTTCTTCATATACTGTTATTCGGTTCTTACCAAGTACTGTAATTCGGTTCTTACCAAACAGATGCTGGGGGAAGAAGTTTGTTATGTTTTGTTTGGTTTTATTAAGCGGCTACTTTGAAAGTGAAGAAAACGCGGTAGTTTAGCATTATGCAATATGATAGCTGTTTAATGCGGAAAATCAAAAATTCTTTATTAACAAAAATCCGACAGTCCAAAATAGTGTACTTAGCTAGAGAATCAGCTTCAATCATGCGGATGGAGATTATTTCACTTAAAGCCTTATGTCATAAGCGTCCAGGAATCCGATCAAAGATATCTGCCATTTTTGTCGCTGATTCATTCTAAATGCTAATGAAGAATTTATTACAACTTCTTTTTCAAGCAAAAAAATTATCAAATTTCCTTCTTTCTTTCTTTCTTTCTTTCTTTCTTCTTTCTTTCTTTTGTATACTTAGTTTATACTTTATACAGAACTTATTTTAATTCGGTATAAGAGTATAGACACTCCCGTCTCCATTTCAAGAATCAAGTTACCAGTACTGAGCAGCGAGTATAAAGTTTCTTCCTTAAGGGAACACTTATTCATAAATATTTTAAAGCCATTTTGGATTTTACAGAGTAAGCCTAAAGTAGTCCCGTTTTATTTTTTTCCCATTTTCTCTACTTACCATAAAAATGATCACATACTTTTATATCGCAAGAAAACAATTAAAAACCTCCTAGCGACTTTAAATAACCAACGACATTTTATGAAATAGTTTCTATAAAAGCAAATTATATATAGGTTAAAGTTTAATAGTACGTATATACAAAATTAAATCGGTACAAGCTCGGCGCGACCAAGTTAATTTTGTAAATACGTACTAATCAATTTTAACCAGCTTGTTTTAAATCATTTTTTATAAAAAGTCGATTTACTAGACTGATTAATGCCAATTTACCAAAGTTAATGTGTAACGACTCAGTTGAAATACTGCAATCCTATTGGACAAAAATTATTTCAAACACTTTTTTTTAAAGCTGGCATTTTCACAGTAGAACCAAACGTGCTATATTTAGAGTAAAGATAGATTTTGAACATTTCGCGTGTTTACGGCAGATACTTCGTGTGTTTACGTAATATATTCCGTGTGGTTAAGCAATTGAACAACGAATTGATCAACAACAAATTGGTCACGATATATATCATAAAATGCGTCCAAAAATTAGAATCGTGCTCGAATAATTTTAAGAACATGCTTTCTATTTACAAATATAGCAAATGTAATTGTATATAAAAGTCCTCTATAAATCGGATGTATTGGAGAATATATATAGATTACCTTATCTAAATAGCACAGTTAAGTGACTTTAATTAACAAAAATAGAGAAATGTGAACACGATCTGATCCGGTGAGATAAGCTGTCACACGAGATTCCCTTATATTACAGATAAAACCAGTCTTTACAGTTTTGTATACATTTTCAAAAAAGACAGATCTTGTAGAAAGTTTCACTATGATAAAATTTGCAGTTATTGCCGCGGTAACAGGTATGAGACTTTTCATTTCCAAAATCCTAATTTTTAATACATTTCTTTAAGCTTTTATAACTCGTTTTTTTCAATTCATACAAGTTAATTGACGTGAAATTGACGTCAGTTACACTATACAGTATTAGTTATAATGATTGTTGACAGGTTATATGGCCCTATATAAACGGCTATTTGTAAATAAAACCCGAACCGCTGGGTGAGGATTATATTGCAAACAGCCGTTTATATAGGGACATAAAACCTGTCATCAATCTTTATAACGAATTTATAATACAGCAAGCATCATTTTGTGGAGTGGAAAAAAGTAAGATTTCTTCATAAATCGACAGCAGCCGTGTATATAAATCTATATAAACGTCACGATTATCCAATGAAAAGCGACGTTACAAACGTGCAGTATTATAATGAACTTTGTTGATACGTACGTATATGACGCTGTTTTAATATACGTTACGTCATTAAATAGTATCCTGTTACTGCCTGAAAAAATAATGGAATCGTTAAAAGTACTTGCAGAAAAAAAACCAAAAAATAAAACAACAAAAAACATACAAATAAATAACTATGCTTTATTTTATGCTGCATTTCCGGGTATATATATTTTTTTAAATAATTCAAGATCCACACAAAAACAATATGTTTGTAATATTGAAACAATGGTTTACATTTCCAGTGTACATCTGCTATGTGGCAGCTGAAATATGTAGTAATGTAGGTGACTGCAAGGGTACATCATGCTCAACAACAGCAACACACGTGCACGTTGAATGTGTAGAGAGACACTGCACATGTTCACAAGATCAAAAACGTAAGTTGACCAAGGTCTAAAAATATCCTGTTTTTTTTCGGGCATTATCCGATCCAACCTAAAGAAACGCCGCCGACCATTAAACGTTTTAATGTCATTATCAGTGTACTACGTCAGTGTCATTTAAACCTAACATTTCTTTCCGCTTTTCAAAAGTAATATTTCTTTTTTTCTTTTTGCTGTTTCAGCTTGCTATTCAAGTATAATACTTCTTTCCTCGTTTCTACCATAAAATTTCTTTTTGCCATTCCAGTACATTATAATATTTCTTTTCGCTATTCATAGATATATTTTCTTTTTTTGCTATTAAGGCTTAATATCTCTTTTCACTATTCATAAATTAAGTATTCTTTTTTTCCAGCATGTCTCACCGTATCAGATTGTAGTGCTAACGCTTCATGTATTGACCGTGACGGACATACAACTAAGTTCCACTGCCTAGATGGAAAATGTAATTGCTTAAGAGTCTAAGACTCGCGCGTATTGTCTTTTATTCCTTTTAAGGAACCTACTGGTATATTTTTAGTTGAAATTAAAGTTACTAAACCCACTCCTCTGTTAATTTATTTCTTCCGGTAACTATGACGATATTCTAGTGGTTGGTGAAAACGCTGAATCTTTAAATATTTGAACACTGGGCATAGTTCTGCCACCAAATTAAGGCATGGAATATTCATCCAGATAAGTCTTATTTCCAGTGCAATTCGACTTTTTCAAAGTTATTGCGAGGTTCAAAGTATGTGAATTGTTCATCAGTGATTTATGCACGTAAAGCTTGCTACATGTACAGAAGGTGCTCATGAATGTACTGCTAATCCGTGTGAACATCGTGTTTATGTAATATCGCAGAAAAGTGAACAAAGCACGTGAAATGAGAGTTAGTGTCCAAATCTATGACCAAACACGTAACAATACGCCCAATTTATTATATAATCTATAAATAGCTTTGAAAACCGTTCATCGGATTGGCTAAGTAAAAAATAAAAGGTTAATATCGAAGTATAATTTATAATAGTAAGTCAAATTAAAAAAACAAAAACAATTAGCACAAACAGTTGGCTTAAACCTCAATATTATAACTCTATAGGAAAATGTTTACATTTCCTGGTAATTCGTTTAGGGTTTAAAATGATATGCGGTTCCTTGTATTTTGTGATTTTCACTGTGTATTTAAGGCTCTTTAGGGAGCTATTTTCGTCGAGAGCTACATGCGGCCTAACAAAGCATCCAAGTTCATTGAACCATGCATTGTCTTGTACTACAGTCTGACATATATTTATTGTATGACGGATGGACAAATCATTTCAGGTTGAAACATGTTGGTGTGGAGTTTTTTTTATATGTTTAGAAATTTACAAAGAACAGAATATATTTTATTCTTTTACAGCGTTTACTCGGTTAGAATGGGGCTCACAAGTTTCACGTGATCCACACACGAAATGAACGTGGTTAACCTATGCAGTTGCAACAAATTTTAGAGTCAATTAATTACAGAATTAGATATCGAACCCGGCCGACCTGCTTGCCGCTCGAGTCTTACCATAAACATACATATTCATAGAGATCTTACTTTTCTAAACATTTACCAAACTAAATGGTCTAATTAAATGATCTATCACGTAAACTCGGTTAAACGAAACTTATTATAGATTTGAGATTTTATTACAATATACATGTGGCCGGACTATATACCCATGAGCATACACGCACGCACGCACGCACGCACGTACGTACTACGTACGTACATACATACATACATACATACATACATACAGGAACATTATACAGTATAAATGTCATTATAAGCATATACAACATATATTCAACATCTATAATTGAGATTAAGTTTGGTTTAATATGAACAGAATAACAATATTACAACATGGTGTAAATGACACTCAAGTTTCACATAATGATATCAATTCCAACTATAATTTACAAGTATTCAACATTTGTTCTTAATTCAAACATTTTAAAGATAAACATTGATAATTTTCTCATAAAATTGTCTTATTGAGATGTTGGTCTTTTCCAAAAAAAAAGTTATTCATAAGCTGTTTTCTCAAAACATTGTACAATGGACATTGTAATAACACATGACATTCATCTTCTAATTTAGAGCAAGTTACATTTTCTGGCATTATAAGGAATTGCTTCAAGTTTATGCAATCTACCAGTTTTTACTTTTAATGTATGTGAAGAAGTCCTAAAGCATGATAAAGCTTTCCTAAACTTTTCAATATTAACCATTGACAGATATGAATGAAAGCCAAAAATTACAAAATAATACACAAGTTCTTGCTCTTGATGAATGTCTTAGTGTTGCATACCATTAGTTTGTACAAGTTAAATGTTGATGCTGCACATCAAAGACGCCGCCAAATGATGTGAACAGTCACAGGTAAGATACAAAATCAGCCTCTATTACAGATGACATCCAAAACACTAATTAACTTTTCTTGGTATGTGCTCGTTGTTTAATAAGTTGTATATTTTTGTGAAAAAGAAGAACCTAACGCATATATTCTCAAAGTAAACGCATGTCTGAAATTCTGAATAAATCAATGTATGTCTGTTGCAACAAAGATTGAAAGGAAATAAAATCGCGTATAAAATTACCAAAATCCACCTAGCCTTCAGTGTCAAGAAATGCTCTCCGACTGAGGCATAACTACACGTTTGTACACTGAATTTAAAATCTTCAATACTTGTGTTCTATCTACTGTGATTCTATAATACTATAAGGGGGCAACACTCGACTGAAAAATTCCCGTCATTATAATAAAGACTGGTTATTTATAAGTTTTTTATATATAGTCGCTATCGACAACACAACCTATATCATTATCACCTTTTCGCCTTGTCGCTAGCGAAACGCGTTAAAAGGCGCGTTGTCTCACTGTCGTCTTATCGTCTTGTCGCTAGCGAAGTACCTCCAAACGGCGCGTTGTTGTGCGGAGCGTTGTCGCGATGTCACCTTGTCGCTTGGCTTATAAGCCAATCCTTCGATTTGAGCCGAGCGACAATGTGGTATCGCGACAACACACCGTATTACAACGAGCTGTTTGGCGTGCATCGTTTGCGACAAGACGACAAGACATAAGTCCAACAACGCGCCTTTTGGGGCGCTTTATCGTGCTGTCGCTAGCAACAACACGATGCATTAAAGCGTACCAAAATCAGCCACCTTAATGCACGCGACTCGTCTTACATGGGGGTGTCAGACAGGCTTTTCTAGCACCGGTGTAAACAGTAGATAACTCTGTCTGATATGCAAGAAAACAATGCGTAAACTACGCGTTAGTTAGGACAATGCGCAAAGCACGCGTTGGTGAGGACAATTATGATATGACAACAACAACAACTGAATAACTGTTAGACTTGGTATAACGTATTCTCAGCAGAAATCTAAAAACTATTCTAAAATAGCTGATGATATAGTGTATAGATCTATCATATCGTCTTTCAAGAATTTGAAATATTTTAGTCGCCTAAATCATTAGTAAAAATTCGACAAAGCCAGCCAACGTTTGAAAACATACAGTGTTGCTTATATGTTTGTTTTATTTTAATATAGCAACTCTCTTGAGGAATTATTAAAATAATTTCCTACAAATATGAAAACGATAAATGATATGAACTACGGGTAAAATGATAAAGGCAATTTGTTACTCGTCACACGTAGTTGTATGACCAAAATGTTTAAAACAACCCTGTTGATTTAGAGACATAATGACATCCGACTGTAAAGGTTTAAAATATGTGAGGATGCAGCTATAGGGAGAAATTTGCCCGTTTTTGTTTTGGTCATGGAATTGTTAGGATGTACAGTGACATATGTGTATGTCATGGTTCCATGTAAAACATTAACGACTTACTTTATGACAGTTTAGAACATACTTTTGGCATAATAAAGGTATAGAAATGCTCTGTCTGTAAAATTAAATAAGTTCCATACCAAGTTTAGTCTCCCTCAAACATTCAAAAACGTATTTAAAAGTCACTAGAGGTGCAAATTATAAGTTAACAAGAATATTAGTTTATGAACTGTTTTGATTCTCAACTCGGCGTTTCACACAAGAGGTGGAAATACTTAAGATACATTTCAGAGAACAAGAAATCCCAGAGACTGTGAAGATGTCTAACTCGAGCTAACAAGTTTTTTAGGAAAAATGTTGCAGGCTCGGTTTAATTGAGCCTGTTCATGGACAGCAAGTGGTAAGTGTAACGTACCCTCCGATGGGAACACGACATTATTAGTAAAGAGGCATTTGTCAAATCATTGAAAAATAGGTCCCAAAGAAGTACAAAACAACTGGATTGCGGGTGATCAGAATCTACAAAACATGAACTAGGATACATTGAGCCCAAATTCGGACAGCAAAACCTTTCCTACTATAAAAACATTGCAGAAACGTCAGCTGCAACAAACCTGTCAAACGGTAAACTTACCAATCAGAGAAAACAATATTACTGATTTCTTTTCACACAAAATATCCCACTCTTGTGTAATATATTCTAGTATTAAATAAATTTTGATGCTCAAACTCAAAACTTAGACATTTGACTAGCCAGAAACTAGTCAAAGTTACCACGAAGATCAGCTTCAGGGGACACATAATACCTCTGATAACTTTCTTATACAAACGAAATGAACTTATTGATCAATTCATACCTTCAGAAAATTTCCTATATTAGGGACAGACTCTCTTGGGTTAATCAACAGCTTGAACGATTCGTTAGAAGGCGAGACAGAGATGTTACGCCGCTACCGAGGAATATAGCTCTCCGAAGAGCTTTATCGGTTGGATTGTAACACATTAAGCTATCCTGTGTGTGTGTTTTTAAGTTTGTTTATACTCGGCGCCGAAATAAACCATATGTCCGAGAATATAGCATCCTTGCCGGTCCACTATAGTAGTCTCATCGGGGACGTCTTTTTCATGCTGAATCTTCGGTAGCCTGTTCTTCGTACAGTGGTGATGAAGACGTCAACAAGACTGCCAAGGCAACAGCTTCCTGACCATCGATAACAAAAACGGCCTTTGGAAAAGTCCCTTTATACGACGCGGTTCAAACCCGGTGGATGTAATATTTTCTCGCGCATGTGCAATCTGCGTAGGGCAAAAGATCATCGCCCTACATAGAAATGTAGAAGAAGTTCATAGACAGTTCTGAGTCAAATGACGGTAAAAAGAAAAAAAATAAAATTAAAAAACCTCTAAGAAAAAAGATGGCTTTATAGCTTTGTGGACAAGATATGGAAAAGAGGATTTAAAAATTCCCTTTGTGACTACTTTGGATTTGAAAATCATTGAGATAATTGTTGTAAAAATGTGGAAATTTATTTATTATCAAAGAATAAAAAGATAAGGTCTACTTTGTTCTTCTTGAAATAGGTCATATAAAAAGTATGAAATCAAAGTCAATTAATTTATCATTTTAAACAAAAGGTCAAAACCTGTAGTAACAGATGTTCATGAACATGTTGTATTCAGATTTATCCAATTTGACTGCGATGACAAACACTCACGTATATATGTTAAAGTAATTTCATAAAATGATGAGAAAATAAGAAATTTTCCTGTATGGTATAGCGAAAAAAAACACTTTTATCCAATTTATCGTAACACATTTAGTAAATGCATCCCACATAATACTATATGTCACTTCACAAAATTAATTCCAAACATTGATAAGGTATATGTTAAAATTATTTAATTACGTTTATTATCATAATTGTACAATATTAACAATGTCTTTATACTAAAACGTCCCGGTTATTGTAAACGACCGGTCACGTGTCCATCTGTTTTTGCCAATCCACATAATCAAAGGAAGTGTACTATTACGTAATTCATGTCTAATAACTTTTAATTAAAACCACTGTTAACTGGTGAAAAAGTGTTCTAATAATCCTTTTTTTTTATATTATCATTTATTAATTAATAATTATATTATAATTCTAACACAATATTTTTTTTTTTTAAGCCCAACAGGTAACTTCGTTTATTGTCCCGTCATGGGTAAAATAGGGTCGGGGATCCATCCGCTATTTCACCTTACAAGTTTACTAACAACAATATATATATATATATATAATATATATATATATATATATATATATATATATATATATATATATATATAATATATATATATATATATATATATATATATATATATATATATATATATATACACATATGACAAGGACAACATAATTATGTAAATTATAAATTATAAGACTTCATGGGCTATGAAATTATGACATGCTACATAATAATGCAACAAGGTTAGTAGATATAATATATATAATCAAGTACACGCAAGTATTGTTTCTTACTTATACAATGTATATGATAAAAGATATATATTAATATATTTAATGTAAATTCACATTGATTGAAAAAAACAACAACAAAAAACAAATACTTTAAACAGAGGAAAATTAGGTCAAATTCAGCTTTTATGTCCTGTATAAGATCAACTTTTAATTTTAATATGACTCTTCTAAATTCTTTTTTTTTAAACAGTTACACATGTTACTAGGTGTTGAATCAAAATCTAAAAGACATTCTGATATTTCAGAACCTAATTGAGAGCAAGTGGAGTACAATAATTTTCGCTCCGTTTCCGTTTCAATGTTTTATATATTTTGTATGTCACAAATGACCTGGTGTGGAGATGTTGTTTATTTTCACTTTACTTGTTCCAGGTTTTGTTCTATTCATTCGAAGATACAATGTATTGTTAAAGTAATCTTATAGAATACTAATTCTTGCATATTTCTGGTAAACCTGGATAAACTGAGTAATTTGCGTGTATAAAACATTGTCTGACTTTGAACAATGTTATGCAATTGAAGTGATATCTTCCGATGTGTAACTTAACGCGGCAGTTGAAATCGCCAACATCCTGGAACCTGTAAGGTAAGCTGCTTATTTACACGTTCCTACATTAGTTGTTTCAAATTCATTTTTCTATTATCTTACGTAATACAATTTAATTTTAAGATTCGATTACACACTTTTTTTTGTTATTTCTAATTGAGGTGAACAGGTACAAGATTTCCAACGACTTGAAGTCACTAAAAATCACCAGGACAGACCCAGTTCTCGTCGAAACATAGCTTCTATAAAGAGACAAGACAGGTTGGTTATGAAGGAATGCCTACAACAATGAAGGTTGACTGTACCTGACCTTAGAAGATCCAGAGAAGCAGCTGATGTGTTTGCAACTCCATGGTTCGGCGCAGTCTGAAAGCCGTAGGAAATAGTCATCGAGGTATCAAGAAACCATCGATGACCCGTATACAACGACAAAAAAACAAAACAAAAAAACAACGAAAATTTACTGCAATTCTTGCTGACGGGACATGGCTGGACTGGTCTACAGTCATGTCCAGTGATGAAAGCAAATTCAACTTGTTTCGGAGAGATGGACTAAGTAATGTGGGGTGGTGGTAAGCAAAGTCTCACAAGTGTGTGGTGCCTACTGTCAAGTTTCACTGTAAAGGATACTATTGTGTTACCGTGGAACTGGAATATTGAAAACTGTGAAAGAAACTCCAAAGTCTGTGAGATGAGTCCTTTTATCAAGATGCCGGTGCACCATGTCACAGACCAAAGACTATTAAAATCTGGCATACTGCCAATGGTGAACTGTACTCCTCCCCTCCCCCTCAGTCACACAATTGAAGATCTGTGGCACAACACTAGTCCAAGCAGTATCGCAACAGGCAAGAATTTGCTCCTAGCGTCAGTAAATGCTGGAGTGAGGTGGATGTCGTTAGGTGCTGAAACCTTATAAGAAGTTTTCTCAGGAGAAATGATGCTATTCTAGCTATTCGGGGTGGTTATACAAGATGTTAAATCAGACTTGTGTTCAAATGACATTATGGTCACAATTTGTTGAACAAAGAGATCTATTCTTAGAAGTAAATGTGCTTAAGCTTATGATTTGTATATATAAACTATTCCTCGCTAATACATTATAAAATGAAAAATATATATACGAGAGGTGTTCAGTTTATTATTAAACACAATCAAAACACGCTATAAGATCTCATAGCTAACAATAACTCGTGCAAACTCGTGCAAAGCGATTAATTCATGTATAGTAGTGTACCATACATACACCAATCTAATTTGAATTGAAAATTCAATATGGTTAGACCAAAAATAAATGATTTAGTTAAGGGCATTATTTTAGGACTTTTGAAGCGAATAATGTACTACAGAAACATTGTAAAACAAGTTAAACAGATGAGACATAATGTTTTTGCTCCTTATGTGCATCGCATTCAACATGGTAAAGAATTCTAAATAACATACGCAAAACAGATAAAAGTGGTTCTTTTACTTAACGTTGCAGCACATCAACTACTGCTGTCGTCGTACGTAAAATTCGTAATAAAATCAACCACACAAACAGAAATGGCAGCTAAGTGTAGGGATGTCTCTTGGCACTGTCGAACTAATGAGACAGACCTGAACAAACTGAAATTTGTAAAACGAGATGCATTTGCACCTGGGTTTATGGTTCGGACCGCTGTCAGTTTTTACGAAAAGACATCCCTTTTTTATCAATAAATGGGTAAAAGGCAATGCAAAATATAACGTAGACAAAGTTTTAAAGCCATTTCTCAAAATAGCTGTTCCACGACTTTTTCTTCGAAATAAGAATGATATGGTATTCCATCAAGACTCGGCCTCTAGTCATACCGCTAAAATGCCCAACCATGATTTTTCTTAACAAACGTAAAGTGAATTACATAACACCTGCAGGATGAATACCAAAAAAGCCCAAATGCAGACAGCTCCCATTGACTTTGGTATCTTGGGTACTGTATTCTGAAACGAAGGCTATAGAAACGCGAGATTTATACCGTGTCCGGTCTTAAAAAGGTTCTCAGAGAAGAGCAAACTTGAGCAGTCATGCTGAAAACTGGACTTTAGAAATTTGGCCAAAAAGGTGTAGAATGATTTACTATTGTTATGGATTCCTGCATCTGTTGCAATAAACCACATCCAAGTGAGTAATAAACCAGGTTTTAAAACTGTTTCATAATAAATTGAACATCTCACGAATTTTATTATATTTTCAATACATGAAATAAATTTTATACCAAGTTTCATGAATATTCATAAATGTCTCTAGATTTTTGTAGGGCACTGTACATATTCACAGATACGTGTGTATCACCCTTATTTTAGAACATATACATATACAATTACATAAAATTTTGTGAATAGATAACAACAGTCACGAATACTTTAAGTAGATAAGGATGTCCTTCTTTAGTAGAATAAAATTTGTGAAGTACACGAGTGAAAGCAAACATCAACAAGATGAAATTGACATTTGTCTTATTACTTACAGGTCTGATTTTATTTATTTTTGTTTAAAAATTCGTCTTATATTTATTACATTCATAATAATAAACAATGTTAATAATGTTTAAGAAATATATAAATATTAGGTTACCTTTGGTTTATGTCGTATAAAAGTGTGCGGTTCCAGTTTAGATGCGCAGATATATTAGCACAAATTATAGTCTTGCCATTAAGCCTATAATTACACAAATATAAAATCATTTTGTTATCATATTTAATATTGAAAACAAGCTTACATAGATACTTCTTTGATTTCATTTTTTTCTATGCTGAATAGAATTCTAATGTAGCATCATTTAATTGACATGCTTATTTTTCCGAATATTTTTTTAATCTAGTATACATATGTTGGACTAATGCTGAAATCTGCAGTAATATCACAGACTGTGTTGGTACAGTATGTAAGCCTTCAGTAGATCACGTGCATCTCGAATGTATCGAGAAACATTGCACGTGCTCGAATGACCCAAGGGGTAAGTAATTATGATACAGTCATTTCACTTAGAAAATACATATCAATTTGAGTGCATTGTTGTAGAATAAATACATGATTCGAGTTTAAATGCGCAGTTATATAATCACGAAAACCTATACATTTGAAAGGAAAAACCGTGCATTATTATACATATACTAGAAAACTTGTATTATGCAAGACACATAAATATCTTTCTCCATTCTATAAAAGAGAAAATTAATAAAAAAAACCAATTAAATTACATTGAGTGTAGATGTAATGTTTCCTGACGTCATTATTTGGTTAATTGACGTCATATCACGTTTAAGAATTCGTTTTTTTATGCAATGCATACTTATACGTTTTATAATGCACTTTATTGCCTTGTCTGTATGATGAAGCGTGAGGGAATATGAAAGAAGTACAAACTTATACTCATAAAAACTGTCGATGTATGAGTGCTACGATTTGTTTTAATTAGACAATTGTATTGCTTGTATAAATATTTCGTTACAATTAAAGTCTACAACCTAAACGTCTTAACAAGAAAGATAACACATGAATGATACGGAAATTTCCTTTGTAGATCTAGACCTATGTAATACCAATTTTATGAGTTTGATCAGTCTCACCTTCTATTCAGTACAATGTCTCCGAAAGGTTATCACTTATCAGTGACATTCACTTTGTTGACGTTGGTCATTTTAGATCTAAGTTAGAACCAAATGACACAAGCTTTGATGAATGCTTACCCCATAACTCTTACATTTCTTCAACGAATTGCAAAATCTTCGTATCAAATGTTAAGCTTAAAGGTAATGAAGCTCTATTTTTTCATTGGTCGTGTTAGAAATTCAGGCCAATGAAAATTCTCCATACAAAATGGGGGTCTGCTGCACCAGTCACGACTTAGCACATCGATAAAAGGCATGTTACATGCAAAAAAAAGCAGTTTATATTGTATAGGAACACTAGGGGGTAATAGAGTGGATGATGGTAGTGACCAATCAATGTGCTAATCACCTATAAATCAAGCAGTACTGCAAATAAAGTTTTGAATGTTTAAGATAAGAAATATTCAAAAAGAAAGCAAATGTGATGTTTCTTAATATAAACATGATTGAAAATGATAAGTACGGAATCGCTAATATTTAACATCCGAACTGTTGCATGCTCGATTTGATTGGGCCTGTTGACTTTATTGGCAAAGTACATACTACAGTACGAAAATACATGTTACAGTCAACGCCAGATATCATAAGTGAAGGCAAAATTCAATATTTAGCCATGTATATGTTGAATTTTTCGAATTTAAAAACATCCGCAGATGTCTTCCTATTGCGGTAATGAAAGCATCTTCAATGAAACAAATTCATGCCTTTAAATGAACACAGCGTATCTCGAATGAAAAAGCTTAATTTATTACGTTATCAAGTGACTATTTAGTTATTACGTTAATTTTTCTTCATAATTTTCAGCGTGTCTTTCTGTTGGTGACTGTGACCAGAACGCGAGATGTTTTGATAGGGAGGGGCACAGAACTCACTTTCACTGCTTGGATGGTGCCTGTTTATGTATTAGAGTATAAAACAAAACATTATGTGTTATTTAAACAAGAAATTAAAGATTGTCAGTTATTTTGTCTTCGTGTTTTGATGCCTATATAGTGCTGCAAATAGACTCAAATAACTCGCTTATTTAGGGGAGTAACTGGTCCCCGATCATAAACAGGGGGTTTCATATACCAAAATGTTCGGTTGGGTCCCTATATTACGAAATAGGATTTCATTTTTGCCATAAATGCTGGCGGACTAAGAAATCCAAGATGGCGTCCAAGATGGCCGCCAAAAATATGAAAATAATCATTTATTATTTATTACTTAAATTTGCAAGCATTAACTTTTTAAAAAAGTTGTTTTTTAAACATTTTGATATTAAATATATTTATTAAATTTAGTTTTAGTATCTATTTATAATGTTAGTAGAATTTTTATGATAAAAACCGATAATTAAGGCTAAATATTTCTAAAAAATTGCTGTTTTTTTTAAATATGTGCTTTACATTTTTTATTTTTTTCTTGCAATTCAATAATGATTTGTTTCCTTATGACTGATTTACAGGAAACAACTTTTTTACAAACAAAATGTGCCAATGAAAGTTATCATTTTAGTATAATTTTTAAGATAATGTGTTTTTAAGTGGGTGGGGTAAAATGGTAATTTTATTAAAATTTAAAAAATACTTCAGATTACTTTATATTGACTGTCTAAAAGACTTGAATCTACTCCTTATTACATATTTCAGAGTCATTGCACAATAGACAATGCCCTAGTTGTGAAATATGAGGAAAATACATGTTTTTTTAATTTAAAACCTGTGACTTAATGTTTTAACTGTCAATTTTTGCACTTTCTTTCTTTCTTTTCCCTCAAAATATTTTATACATATAAACTCTTTCTGGCATATTTTATCAGTAAATAAAACATTGAGAATTTGTTTTTCTTTCCAAAACGTGTTCTACTTTAATTCAATGTCATTTAAGTAATGGGGGTACATAGCAAATGTATTTAATACTGTTGGGAATTTGCAATATTTGAAGATAAACAAAATTTAAAGAAATTAATGTTTGAAATTTCATTGCATCATTTTATCAAATATGTTTCAAAATGCAGTTATATTGTCACTTGTATGAAATAAGTATTTTCCATGTAAAAATAGGAAAACAAAGAGGGCCTGACTCCCTCACCTGATATATTCTACCAGAAAAGGTCCAAATTTAAAATTTTCAGTGTTGATTTAAAGTCAGTAATGAGGTTACATTGGGTTTGTCATTTTTTACCCTAGCTGATTTAAAAAAGAATATTTGTAGAATGCCCAATGATGAATATCTATCTAAGCCTGTAGCATTGTAGTTTCATAATTTCATAACTAAGACTTAAATGTATTTTCCTATATCCAAGTCAATATAAACTAAGTGACCCCAGGGTATGGCTAATTTTGACCCCACAGCCATGGTTTATATTATTTTTGTAGAGTCCTTTTGAAAGAAACATCAGGCATGCACTTGGAGTCAAAGTCCTGACTCTTAATAAAGGTCATTAAGTTTTAGCAGAGTTACATAGTACATGTAAAACATATTTTAAGCTTTTTATGTAAAATAACAATGCCCAAGGCTTTGATATTTGGCATGTATTATTGCTTAGTGGTCATAATACAAATGTTTGACCTCTTAAAAAATGACAACCTAATGTGGCCTTATTACTAACTTTTGAATCGCAGAATTGTGACCTTTTCCAGTAATATTTCTCAAGTACAGGACCATAATGGCCCTCTTTTTAATACTTATTAGCAGCTTGAACGTAGTAGAGCGGACATGAATATTATGCAAACAGATTCCTGCAAACAAACCCTTTCCCTAAGCGGCAGGGGAGTAATAGATAAATTATAGCCTGCATGTTGAACAAAACTGATCTGAAGACATTTTAGAAACGTAGATGTAAAATAATTTCACATAAAGCAAACTTTAGGAAAATAGATTAACAAAAAAAAAGCATCACTAGAAACTTTTCAATAAAGTCGAACTGGTAAATACAGTAACCAATAGTTTTCCTTCATTACTCATTAATTAAAGGCCTCAGAAACAAATATCTTTTTACTTCTTTAGAAAGGGCAAACATAAATTTTATAATGTTGGAATAATGGTTTTAGAGAATGTTTGGTACTTGTTATCCTACGAAAGTAGCACTAAATGTAAAATAATTTGTCATAAAAGTAGCAAAATGTAAACAAAGTAGTATTTTGACTTCAATACAAAATACTAATACACTATAACTGTACTTATTGCCAAAAAGCAACAGATGAAAAAGATGGTTTTGGGAATTAGCCAATGAGTAACTATTTAGATACTATAAAAGAACACCAACATTAAAAAGCTTTTAGAGAAATAAAAATGAAATCATTTCTGAGGCATAATGGGCCTTTAAGATTTAACTCTATGGATATTAATTTAATTTAATCCACAAAAAATTGCATCCCTTTATGCATGTCTGCTATAAGTAATCATTGTGCTCAAAGAGCGAAATCTATATTTAAAATAAATACTATATTTTTCATATTTCGACAATGACCAACAATTGTTATATAAAAGTAAGCACAGCAAGTGCATTTCAGAATGATGATATCTGTAACATGCAGCAGTTCGGACTGTAATATCCGTCCTAAGGTTACCTAACAAAGTCCACAGAGTTGCTGGGTAGCTCATGGGCGGTTTCAGAGAGACAGATATTCTGATCTGAACAGCAAACAGGTCTTTCTTCCATAGATATAATATATTCTATCATATTTTAAATAGTAAACCTCAATAATTAATTTTTCATGGAAATTAATGTCAATTCATCCTCTACTATTTTATTACAGTTATTAATCATTTCAACATATTAAAATTTTGATTTTATTGCATTTTCGAAACTTATAAATTTGCAACATCGTAAAAGATAGTATTTTCTATCCCACTCATTCAGTAAAAAATATTGATAGACAAGTTTGTGTATTACATGTGAAAAGAAAAGCTAAAATCTTAATATTCGGGTGGGGCATCCGTGGCCGAGTGGTCGTGGCCTTCAAAATTTTTGTTCCTCACCGCTGTGGGTTCGAATCCGGACAGGGACTTTGGATTCTTTCATGTGAGGAAGCTATCCAGCTAGCTTACGCAGCTTGCGTGGGTGGTTATACTCAGGTGCCCGTTCGTGCCTGAAATAATGCATGGAAGGGCACCTGAGGTCTTTATCTTACAGTAAAGTTGGATATCGCCATATAACATGTGACGTAAAACCCAATCAAACAAACAAACTAAATATTGGTTCTAAAATTTACTTACTTTATATGTTAGAAAGATATGTGTAAAAGTTCATGAAGAAGGGAAAAGAAATAAGAAACGTGTAAACAGATTTGCTGTTTAAATTTAAAGCATTTTAAAATTGAAATTATACTTATATTCTCATATTTCACAATTAGTGCATTGTCTATACAGCAATGACTCTGAAATTTAAGATAAATTTAAGTCTTTTAAGTTGTCAAAAAAGGTTATATTAGGATACTTGCAGTATTTTGAAATTTAAATAAATTAATCATTCCCCATACCCCACTTAAAAATACACACTATCCCAAAAATGTAATTAAATGAAAATTTTTAATGTTAGATTTTGAATTTAACAAGAGCCACCGCCAAAATTTAATACTTTGACCATGATGGTCAAGGTAATTTAAAGGTTAAAGTAAGTTCAACCTTTTAGAAGGTCTTGTCTAAAAGGTTGTTTTGTCCAAGTATGAAATAATCCATTGATTAATAATTACCAAGTTACAGCCAATTAATTGATAATCTGTTAATATTCAATAAATTTTCTTCAAGGTCAAGGTCATTCATGAGTTAAAGTAAATTTTAATTTAATATACATAAAGGTCCTGACCTAAAATGTCTGGAAATAAAGGTTATCAATTTATAGATAACAAAGTTATAGCCAGTTAAAAAACCAAAAATGAAACAAGAGAATTTCATTAATTTGACATTAACAGTCATCTTCAACTTAAGGTCAAGGCCAACTCTTAATTATTAAATATATATATTGGTAACAAGTTGTGTATAAATGAAATCCGTACATAAATAACAAAATTATGACAATTTAAAAATTTTACTTTCACAGTTAAGATTATTTAAAGTTCAAGTTCAAAGTCAATTCCACCTTTTATTTCATTTAATTACATTTTTTTGGGATAGTGTGTCTTGTCCAAAGTGTTGTTTTGTCAATGTATGAAGATAATCCATAAATTAATTACCATGATACAGCCAATTGTAGCAAATATCAGTGGAAATTCATTTATTTTACCTTCAAGGTCAATGTCATAAAAAGCCAAGGTCAATTTAAATTTATACATGAAAGTCATATCCTAAAGAATGTTGTGTTATAATATGAAGTGAATCCATTTATCATTAACAAAGTTATAGCCAGTTACAGCCACCCCCCCCCCACACACACACACAGAAAAAAATAAATAAATAAAAATAAATTTTCTATTATTTGAACTTCAAGGTCAATGTTATTTATGAGTGAAGATTAAGGTCTGTCTGGTTAACTCGAAGGTCTATCCTAAAAATATTATTATGTTCAAGTTTGAAGACAATCCATTAGAAAATAACAAAGTTATAATAGCAAAAATCAGAAAAAAATAAGCAAAATTTAGACATTTGACCTTGGAGGTCAAGGTCATTTATGAATGAAGGTCAAATTTAGTCTTGTCTACTTAAAGATCTTGCCCCAAGGTTGTTGTGGCCAAGTATGAAGACAAAACATAAAGAAGATTAAAAGTAATGATCACAGTTAAAGTTTGCTGACGGAAACGTCAATACCGACATGACTGTAACAATACCTCTATTCTTTTAACTATTTTTTTTTATTTTATCTATTTTTATTATATATTTTTTAAAAGTCGAGCTTAACATGTTGTTTTCTTTAAAACCAGTCATTATAATTAATTTTTTATTAAAAAGAGAGAAAAAAATAAGAAATTGTATCAAGTATTTTTAAAATCACATTTTTTTCCGTATATTTTTCGTAATTATTTTTTGTTTTTATCATCAAAAAATATAATTACCTTAAAATACATATTAAAACTGCATTTAAGGAACACAATTAATACAAGAACGAAAAAAAAGAACTTATTGCTAAGTTTTAACTGCCAAAATTCAAGTAATATAAAGTAAATTATAATTTTCATATTTTTAGCGGCCATCTTGGACGCCATCTTGAATTTCTTAGTCCGCCAGCACTTTCGGGGGAAATGAAATTCAATTTCGTAATCTAGAGACTCAACCGAACATTTTGGTATATGAAACCCCCTGTTTATGATCGGGGACCAGTTAGGTGTTCCTAAGCTTAACAAATTTGCAGCACTAATATTATTACATTATATATACAATGTATTTAACACAACTTTAAATCAATTTATTTACAGTAAAATGGACACTTGATTCGTGACACGGTGGTCAGCTCTTCCCGGACTGGATCGAAAAGTTTAAGATCGCTTTGGCGGTAAAGAGGTCCAAAACCCGACACCTTAAAATACACATTTTGTGAAGGTCCATACTTTTGATCTTCTACATGAAAATATGTAAATCGTCATGATGGATCCGATCTCATACTAAAGATTATTGAACCATTTATAAACAGCAACAACAACCGTTATCTCGAAAAGCAAAATACATGTTTTTGTCGAAACCCTATTCAGTTAAGAATTAGAATTGCGTCATATCCACCATTTTGTATACAAAACCCCTTAAAAACCACTTAAAGCCTGAAGAATACCATATTATTCTAAATTAGAGTTTGTAACCCTTATTCATTTCGATATATTTTGTTCACGGTAAACCTGTTTTTGAACGTTAACACTGAAGTAAATAATCATGGAGCTGAATATAAGCTTGTATATCTATAAGAATAACACCATGACCAATCAGGAACTATTTTTTGTTACTAAAATTAATGAGCCTGTCATTTGACAATCTTTACGCAGTGAACTCCCCTTATTTTTTCGGCGTTCATGTACATATGAAGGGAAGTAACCGCTTGGACTACTTTCGGTATTTGCAAATAATAACATCAGGGTCTCACATTTCGCTACCATTATTTGTTTGGTCTCACGACCCAAACAAATAAAACCCTATTTTGTGATTACAAACACGTGAAACTGTTCCTTTATTGAAAGCCTACATTTTCAACTTGCACCTTTCTTGCGATAACAGGATAAAAGGTATACAATGAACATGGTTTAATTCAACACTATGCGCTGTTTTCTAAACTTTCCAAACGATTTCTTGTGTTTAATTTAGTTATTTAATCAGGATGTTCGAAGTAATGACAAGTTTCTTGTAATACTCCTTTTAACAACTGAGCCGCGCCATGACAAAACCAACACAATGGGTTTGCGACCAGCATGGATCCAGACCAGCCTGCGCATCTGCGCAGTCTGATCAGGATTATCAGTTTCTCTACCCTTTATAGGGTCGAACAACATGGATCCTGATCAGACTGCGCGGAAGCGCAGGCTGGTCTCGATCCATGCTGGTTGCAAACCAATTATGTTGGTTTTGTCATGGCGCGGCTCAAATGCTGTTTTATTTGACGATTGATCGGACCAGATCGGACCAGAATCTTGTTTACTCATCTCATAAAGCAACTGCTTTGAATTGTTGTAGACTGATACTTGTCTATTGTCTAGACTATAAAGCAAGTATATATACTACTAGTATCAGACATATGTTCAGTATATAAATTTAAACGTCAATTGAGTTGAATAATTGTCAATGTCATCATTGTTTTTGTAAATATTTGAAATATTTTGAAGGTGAACAGTTAAACAAACTAAAATGAACGACAGTGATGTGTGCTAAAGAAAGATCACATTAACTTGCATTTGTTACGCGTGTTTTTGCGAGGAGTATTTCTTGCACTTTCTCGGCTCTTTCAGATATTTATCAATATACAGGCAATATAGAAATATTATACTCATGAAGAATATTAGAAAGAAAATTTAATACCTGACCAAGCATTGTTTGCAAAGACAATGTACGGATGTTTTACAAACTGTATCCCACTCGCTGAGATACGAGCCTTTTTATTACTCATTTTGCTTGTTAATTACAATGTAACCTCAAATATGGTACCTTACATCCTACATTTTCGTGCCAGTCCATGAAAAGCAACGTATGGTCCACAAGTAAATGTAAGCGTGTGCTATGAATCTTTATGAATAAAGTATAAAACACGTGCCTTTTGACGTATTGTCTGTTACATTCAGGCTTTATAACCTCTGATTCTCTTTCTCAATTCCATTTTGTTTAGTTCCGGCCATTGTTTTCTCGTTTAGTGCACACGCTTTTATTTACTTGGAGACCGTGCGCCGCTTTTCATGGAATGGCAATATAATGTGACCTTGAAGGTTCTATGATAACCACCCTATGAAATCATTTGCAGATGTTTTCAAGTTCAAAAATTCACCATTTTCATATTTAATTTTGCTTAGGCCAGTGCTACGGGCGTGAATGGTAATTTGTAATTTTCAGTATAGACCATGAACAGGCTCAATCAAACCGAGTCTGCAACATTTTCAATTTTGTCGCTTTTGGGCGTTCTTTAGGGATTTTTTTTCTCTATTTTGTAAGATATATGTATAATATAACTGATTTTACTAATTATTTATATACTTATAACGATCATATTCCAACTTTACTGTTAGGTAGCCATACTATCTTATATGCTTGCGCGGGCACCCGAGGAGAACTACTGACTTTCCGTAAGCTAGCTTAGTGTCTTTGATTTTTTTCTACAGAAAATAAAAACGTACTCGCATGTAAAAGCATAGTGCTTAAAACAAATTAATTAACTTTTAGTATTTCTAAAACCGAACAAGCAATAACTATTCAGATCGGCCCATGCGCAAATCACGTACGTGAAGACAATACAAAAACCAATGAGTTTATATGAATAATCTTTATTTCTTAGATACACTGGCATGCGCCATCCAAACAATGAAATCGTTCTAGGTGCCCTGAACTTCCAACACACCTGGCATTGGCAACGCAGTCTATCTGTGTAATACAGGCTGAAAAAAATATAAAAAAAGTCTTAAAACAAACCAACAAATAAGATTTGTTTCCATTTTTATTAATATTTGGTTATAAAAGATGTCAATTGTAAAAAGAAATCTAAAACATTTTCTCTCTAAGTAACCGAGTAGAGTTAAAAGATAAGACATTTCTATCATATTTTATATTCAAGTTTTAGTATATATTTATACATTTAAACTATTGTGTATATCGATACATTAAAACATGTGTTTATATCTATACATTAAAAATTCTGTGTATATCTTTACAATTATACATTTATGTTTGTGTATATTTATACATTAAAACTTTTGTGTATATCTATACATTTATTAAAACTTTTGTGTATATCTATACATCAAAACTTTTCTGTATATCAATACATTTATACATTTAAATTTTTGTGTTTATTTATACATTTAAATTTTTGTGAATATTTATACATTTAAATTTTTTGTGTACATTAAAACATTAAAATTTTTGTGTATATTTATACATTTAAATTTTTGTGAATATTTATACATTAAAATTTTGTGTATATTTATACATTAAAATTTTTGTGAATATTTATACATTTCAATTTTTTTGTATATTAAAATTGTTTATACATTTAAACGTTAGATTATCTATACATGTATATCTATACATTTAAACATGTATATCTATACATTTAAACATTATCTATTTATAAACATTCTTAAACATTTGTATTTGCTTTTCAAGGAATGGCACTACTGTGTCATATTAAAGGGTATATTATCACCGCCATAATGGGACAATCTGCGAATATTTCTAAATTGAAAATGTTTAAACCGAAGGTAGAAAGGAGGGGGGGGGGGTCAGTGTACGTTAGCTGGCACACTCCGTACTGCCCATGAACAGACTCGATCAAACCGAGCCTGCATCATTTTCAGTGTTACCGTTTTTAAAGTTCTTCAGGGATGATTATGTTTTTCTTTACATTGTGTATTTCAATCTTTTGTAGTTTTGGAGATGTATTTTCCTCACCTCGAGTTGTCATGTTTTATAACAATGATTTTTTAACATTACAAGTTTTAGATAATTTTGACATGAAAAGTATATAATTATATATAGCAGCATTTGTATTTGTTCTTTTTCTGCTCGATGTTTACAACAATATTTTGAAAGTCATACTTCTGCTTTACTGGAAGTAGAGAGGATCATATGCACTTTGGTGGATTGTTTCAAACCACGTACAGGCACCTTGTAAGGAATGTCACAAAGTCTGTGGTTTAGAAAAAATCAAGCACCAGTAACAATAAAAATCGCTACACTGCTACAGTATTTCAACCTCTTCTTTAACATAAATATGGGACCGAGATGAATTAACGAGAAAACAAGGAACAGAAACTTAAACAGAGAGAAATAAAATCCCTAAAGAACTCCAAAAAGCAAAATTGAAAATGTTTTAGGCTCAGTTCGATTGAGCTGGTTCATGGACAGTACTGGAGATAAAATACAAGCATCCGTCCACTAAAACTTAATTAGAGAAATTAAATAAATGAAGAAAACAAAGTAATGTGGTTATCTTATAGCTAAAGATCATATAGTATCTTTTAAAATGAATCTTTAAAGAAATAATGAGCTCGATACAAAAATTTATTATCTGTAAATTACAGTCATTACTTTATACTTTGTTCACATTAATAAAACACACCTGTAAAATAAATTTATTTCTAGATGATTTTTTATAGACAAGAGACAAGAAAGTCAAATGATCAGAAAATACAAAATCTGGACCGGAAGTGTAGGGGCCGAACGCAGTTATTCACGCTAGGATGGGTTTAGTGTCAGTCGATGCCATGTTCCTTTCAGTTATTGAAAGTCATTCTTAAGAATTTAAATTCAAAAGATTTTCAAAAATTCTTGAAATGGAAATGTAGCAAACAAATATGCCCGAATATGACAATGATATCTTAAAAAAATGAAATATGTAAAAGACGACATACCTCTGGCGTCCTCTCTGCACGTGCAGTGGTGTTTATCACACGACATATGGGAATGTATACTTGTCTGTATGCATTGTGTTATCACACAATCTTGGATAGAGTTGCAACTTTCAGCATAAACGTACACGCAACATACTGAATATAAGATAATAAAAACATCTGATAAATAACAATTGCTTTGATATTGCAAACCATATTGAACGCAAAACAGCAAAACAACAACAACAACAAAACTAAACAAGGCAGTAGAGAAATCTTAATTTTAAAATTTAACTCAGAATATTACTAATCTAAAGAAACAAAAACATTGTAAAACAAAAAAACGAAGAAACAAAATGAAATACACATACCTGAAACAAGCAAAATAAAGCCGTAAATTGTTTTCATTTTGTTACTTTGGATGTGATGAACCAATTCGTTATCTATGAAATTTTCAAATTTATATTAACCTCATTTTTCTTTTTCTGTGCTTTTGATTTTATCTCACCTGATCACCCTTTGTGGTCATAGAAATCATATGTGACCGCTTTATTCATTAACATAGTAATCATCAGTGACCACTTTATTCATTAGCATAGTAATCATCTGCGACCGCTTTGTTCGACAGCATAGTAATCATCTGTGACCTCTTTATTCATCAGCACGGTAATCATCTGTGACCGTTTAATTCATCAGCATATTTATAATCTGTGACCGCTTTCTTTATCAGCATAGTAATCATCAGTGACCGCTTCCTTCATCAGCATAGTAATCATCTGTTCCCGCTTTATTCATCAGCATAGTAATCATCAGTGACCGCTTTGTTCTTCAGCATAGTAATCGTCTGTTACCGCTTTGTTCGTCAGCATAGTAATGATCTTTAATCGCCCTTTGTCACCATAGTAATCATCTGTGACTTTGTCACCATAGTAATCATCTGTGACCGCTTTGTTCGTCGGCATAGTAATCATCTATGGCTGCTTTGTTCGTCAGCATAGTAATGATCTGTAACCGCTCTTTGTCACCATAGAAATCATCTGTGACCACTTTATTCGCCAGCATAGTAATCATCTGTGACCGCTTTGTTCGTCATAATATAGTGATGAACTGTAACCGCTCTTTGTCAGCATACTATTATTTTGTGACCGCTCTATTCATAAGCATAGTAATCATCTGTGACCGCTTTCCGTCAGCATAGTAATTATCTGTGACCGCTCTTCGTCAATATAGAACTTATTTGTGTCCGCTTTATTCGTCGGGAATTCCTGTTTTTCTTCATGAACGCTGTTTATTCTTTTTACTTTGAACAAAAATTACCAAAAATAAATATAACAAATAGTTCTCGATTCTTTCCTAAATTGCTTGTTTCCATATGATCTCATTCCAGGCTTTTACTATTGATAAGGAAAATGACAAGAATGATTTGCATTGTCTATATGTCAACAGTTATATTCTTGACTCTATTACATACAATTTAATCAACCTTAAACAAAACATTGTTTGTTCTTTCCCTGAACAAACCAGATTAAACAAGAGTTGTGGCACCTTAAATGACCATAACATTAGCATAATTTGCTATAACAAAATTTGTTATTGTTGATTTCAATCAAACAACAAAACTGTTATAGAGAGTAAATGACAACATATAGGAGTCAAGAGGTACAGAATGACCACCATTTTTCATTTTTTTCTTATGATGTCAACTCGAAAAACCTTTGGCTATGATAGAATTGGATTGTCACCAAACTTGCAAATAGATTGAATTGCCAGGAAATATTCCTTTTATCATTGGAGACAAATGTTACTCATAATATGGTAAATAATATCGGCTCTTCAGGTGAGCAATTCAGGACCATTAATGCTTTCTTGTTTTCATAGGAAGGTATTATTTAAATCGTTATCTTAGATTGTGTTACAACACCTTACATGATGACAATACTATCAGACAGGTCCTCTAGGCTTAATGTCCTCGAACATTATATTAGCTTACATTATATTGCAAAATCGTGTTGAACAGCTGTAAAATGTTTCCATTTTCGTTGTCTTATTGTGTGTTTCCTTCGATGTTCTTGTATATAATTGTCCTACATCATTTTCGTTGTCTGATTGTGTGATTTCTTTGATATCATTGTATGTTATTAAGTCGTACTTTTTTGGTGATTAAACTATAGAAAACAGGTATGACAAAGAAGCACATTAATTAGCATTTTTCTTCAAGTAGACGAATTGTTCAAATATCTTAGCGAATCTTGAGAATCTTCTTAAAGTCCCTATATGCCCCAGGAATTTTGGTTTTTATATGTTGAAAAGCATTTATTTTTGGAATCTTATCAGTTTTCAAAAGTACTCATATTCCACATAGATGAGCTTACCTTTGTTTTGTTTGCCCTGTTGGTAATTTAAATAATAACTGTTACAGTGAATTAGTAACGAAGTCAAAATACTAATTTGTTACATTTTACTGCCTTTAAGACACGTTATTGCACGTTCGGCACTACTTTCTTCAGTTGTTAAACATCTTATATACATGCCCTAAATCCATTATTAAGGTATCATTTAATACATGTATGACATTTCCTAAGAATAAAGATATTGGACACACAAAATGTTACAAAATATATAACCATAGTTGAACTTATTCTACCAGGTTCATAATTCATAGACACGTTTGGTATGTGATAATTTAGTATGAATTATCTTCAAACTATCCAGAACAATGTTGATTTATTTAGTTATGCACAATAATCATACAATCATGGTTAAAGTTAATAGCAAACTTTCTTATAAATAAAAATTAAATAAAAAAAGATCAACAAACCAATGAAAAGGTGTTCTGAGTTGAAAACAAAGTATGTTATTAGTCATTAACAAATAAAATCAGCTAACAATCAATGCAACACTATTAAAACAAAAGCTTTAAACTGCATTAAACACATATTTAGCATTTGGCCAAAATAATATTCAATCTTGGGCTTCACAATCTTACCGGTGTGTGTGTGGAGGGAACATTTGTCAAACGTTTAAGGGGAACGGTTATTGGTTAAGCTGTCTGCCTCTCAGACCAGAAATCATGAGGTCGAAACCTACTCGGGTGGCGAGCATTACTCCTCATATGACACCAATACAAACAAGTAAATTCCAGGAAGCGGACTCGAAAGAGATTAATGTAACTTGCAAGAACTTGTTTCGCAGTCGAGCATAAATAAAATGTGTTTAAATTAAAACGATATATTTGTAGATTTGGGGACCCGGGGAGAGGCAAATATGAATGTCCTTGCAGTATGACCAATCTAATTAGAACAGTTTCCCCCTCACTTTCACTACTTATTAAAAGTTCTGATTTTAAAGCAGGTCATACATATCAGACAAATTCAGCCGGATATGGATTGACCTATAACTTTATCATACATTAATACTATTTAAGCGCAAGATTTCATATAATTTTACTATATTAAATGGTATGACATAAAGAAATTTTATCATTTTTAAAGTCATATAGATAACGGTCGTTCTAAAGTAAACACAGAGATGACGGAATACTTTTTACTGTTAATCAGCTGATATGTACTGGAATCAATACAATTATTCATACGCATGCATTGTAAAGGTTTTTTTTTCTAATTCGCTTCGCTTAAGCGAAAATAAAGCATTTATCACCTAATGATGGTTATAAGACCTTTAGCCTGGGATAGAAATAAACAGCAACACTGAAATAGGAAGAAGGCCTTCGCATTGTTTCAATATCTTTTAATACACTTCAATACAAATATAACACTTTATGTCTTTGGAAGCTGAACCTATGTCTTTGGAATCTGAACCCCTGAACTAATAATCTTGAAAGCTCACAGCCTGTAAAATAAACTATTATCTTGATTTTAACATGTCTATATCTACGGAAAGCAACAACAAGTAGCTTTACTGTCAATAAAGTTAAAAACATGCTTTTCTTAATTCACTGACTACAGTTATAGTCTAACATTTGGCTTATCTTGATGTATGTAAATAAAATAATGGCTTTTTAAGTCAAAACAAATTGTCTATGACAACGGTTTTAAAGGTTGGGGGGAAAGGGGCCAAAACGATCAGTAAAAAAACAATGCAAGTCCCGATTGGGGGGAATCTACCCCGCCTGTAAAATTACAAAATACATTTTCAAGTTTAGTGAGCACAAAAAAATTTGGGGTCCCCCCTTTAAATTGGGACAAAACAAATTTTAAAACCGAAACCCTAAAAACTCTTAAAACTTTTAAAAAATACTTTTATTAAAAGCTGGAATTTTTCAAAATCTTAATGTAACTTTTTTTTAATACTGATAACGGCTCCCAAAACAGTGGTAAAATAATAAAGTCTATACATACGACTTTATTATTCGCATGTGACTTTATTTATTATCTTCTGTGTAAATTTGAAACCTAAAGGAATGGCATATGAAATTTTGTTTTAAGTTTACGGATTTCTCTGTATGATATATGAATTGTAATTTATTACAATACGAGACGTTATCTTATCCATTTTCTTTTTTTGTTTCTCCACGACTTTTAGAAAATACCCAGCAAAACAATATATGTAACACAAACATCAATTGTTTGGAGACACTTATATACCAAGCAAACAAAGCATCATATATTGACATTAATATAGATTTTGTTATTTATTTAGTGATATGGATAAACTAATCAAACCATTGTTTTGTTTTACACATACTTCACAATAGATGTAATCCGGAACTCGGCAAATGCTAAGCCGCCGGTACAAACAAACTTTTATCGTTGTAGCCGGTCACAATAGATAAGTCAAGCTATTGCACATTTTGAGGCTGTAACTGTAAACGTTTGTTTGTACCCCCGGATTAGCTTGGAAATTCCAAAATATTATTTATTCCGGAGTAAGTCTATTGTTTTATTACTTTTTGATGACACAATTTAAATAACATTTTTGTGATACCAATTATTTGACAAACTTGGTATAATAACGCATAAATAATAAATACAAATACAAGACATTTATATAGCGCAAAAATGTATTAACTATTCGATTGCGCTGTACAGTATTAAGACTATATACACATATGCTTGATCCAGACACTCCCAAACCCAGTCCCGATGGCACAGCCAATCTACAACCCTAGCTGAAAAACAGTCCAAACAAGTATGTTTTAAGTTTGGCCTTAAACTGATTTTCATTGGTAATGTCCTTAAGATAGTCTGGCAATGAATTCCACCATTTAGGTCCCGCAATAGCCAAAGATCTATCAGCAAGTTTTGAATTTGTTGATGGTATATCAAACTGAGTGTTGCTAGATGATGAGGATCTCAGTCTTTTCCTGTACTGACTTTGGCATTGCGTGAACAATTTTACGAAGATACAATGGGGCGGTGCCATTTGCAACACTAAACACAGTCTATATAGAGGGCAGCTATATAGAGAGTAAATATCTCAGTGGTTCAGTATCCGATGAGGACTGTTCAATGACAACTTTCATATCTCTGTTGGTTAAATAAGATTCGATCCACTTTAATGGAATACCCTGTATGGCAAAGTATTTCTGTAGGATTTCAAGTGTTATTGGTATATCGATAATATCGAAGGCGGCGCTTAAATCAACCATTTCAACTATTGTCACATGGCGGCTATCAGCTGTTTCTAGCAGATCACTGTACATTTTCATCATAGCAGACTCAACACTGTGAAATTTACGGTATGCACTTTGGTAAGATGGTAACAAATTGTTGGACTCAATGTGGCTTGAAATTTGGTTCATTGCAGCTTTTTCAAGAATTTTCGACAAGAATGGCAGGTTTGACACAGGCCGATAGTTTTTCAATTCTAAGGGAAGGCCTTTCTTTTTCAAAAAGGGGCTTGATAACAGCGCTCTTCCACGTCTCTGGAAAAACACCAGAAGACAATGACCGATTCACAATTTCTGTCACAAAAGGTGCAAGCAAATGAAGATTTTCTTTCAGCTTTGGTGTTGGCATAACGTCCAACTCACATGTTGTTGACTTTGATTCACTCAAAAGTTTGGTTATGAATTTTTTCATTTAGTGGTATAAATTTGTTCATGATATTTTCTTTTGATGGTACATCAGATGCCATAATACTATCAATCACTGAAGATGATGTTTCTGTGTTTATGTTATCCAGATCATCACGAAGTCTAAGGATTGTGTCACTAAAGTAACGCAAGAAATCGTTTGCAAGTGCCGTCTGACTGGTGTGAGGTGGAAGTGGGTTATTCCTTCGAACGCCCAAGCAAGTCTGAGGTCACGCTATATAACTTCTTCACATTCCCTTCAGCCTCACCAATTCTACTCTGATAGAACCCATCCTTTGCTGATGCTATTGCCACAGTATAGGAGTTTCTTACATTATTGTACACTATTTTTGTGAGATCTGACCTGTCCTTTAAGTATATTTTCTTTATTGATCTTTTGTACTGTTTTAATTGCTTAAGATATCCAGAGTACCAGGGACGTTTGGGTTTAACAGTAATTGATCTTTCTTTCAATGGGGCATGTTTACAAATTATATCAGATGCAGTCTTTGTGAAATCAGACACAAGTTCATTCACGGTAGATGATTTCTCTGCCAAACTGTTTAACTCTTCAAGATCGGCTTCTAACAAGTTATTCGACACACATTTCCAGTTACGTGATATGATGTTTTTTTGTAACCAAAGGGGGGCAGAATTGTTGAATATTACAACTGACAAAACAGTGATCAGAGATGTAATAGTCAGACTGAAGAATGGTTACACTAGCAAGTTTGTCTTCCTTTTTTGTGATGATCAGGTCAATAATATGCCCACTAGAATGAGTTGGAGTATTCACATGCTGAACAAGTCCATATGATTTCAAACATTGTTGGAATTGCTTGGTGTAGCAGTCTGATTGCATGTCCATATAAATATTGAAGTCCCCAAGAATAACCATGGATCTAGATTGAGATGAAAATGGATCTAAATATTCAGTGAATTCAGTCATGAATGTAGCTTGAGTGACCGGGTGTTTTGCAGAATATGGCGGTCTATAAATGCCAACGATTCTAAGTATGAATGTTTGGATACATATTTGCCATTCAGCACATTCAAATGATTGATACGATTTGCTGGGTAGGCTTGACACTTTCAGGTTATCTCTGTATAGAAGGCCTATTCCTCCACCACTTCGATCAGGCCTGGGTACATCATCAAAGCAGAACCCTTCCTGAGCCAGTTCATCCCTAACAACATCATCACCATCAGTCTGTAGCCAAGTTTCCGTTATTAAACAAAAGTCAATATTCTCTTGAAGAATATGCTGGAGAAGATCTGCTGATTTATTCCGTATAGATCTTGTATTAACTGTGGCACGTTTCATTTTTCTCTGTCTATGGACATTTTGTATGTATGTGTGATCAAGTTTAATTTGAACTAAGTTTGCCAAATGAACACCACCGTTATGTATAATCCTTGGCTGGCCAGCTCGTTTACCTCTATATTTCAAAATACCATAATTTTTCAATTGTACTGTCTCACTGTCATTGTACATGGATTAGCCATGACTTCAGGTGATTTGGTGTTCACCAACACAATTGATATGATTACACAGTATATCCAATATTTCCAATATTCGTTATTTTCATACTTTTTCAATTCAAAATAACTCATAAATCCAAATATAAATCACAAAATCAATTTCTGTAACATGTTGGTTACAAGTTTATAGATGTCCCGGCCAAAAATCTAGACCCAAAAGCAGCTTGTTCAAGCATAATAAATCGAAGTTTGAAGAGCACAAAGACAATTATGCTGGTAAGACATTGCAATTTCAATCATAGCCAATTAGAGATTAAAAACTACTATCTATAATGTAATGTAATAACACAGTACAAAACTACATTTAAGCGTCGCTTAATCAAATATATCTAAAGTAAATTTCTAAATGATTTTTTAAAGAACTCCAAGACACAAGATTTATGTCAAAGATACATTTTGATGTCATATCTTTCTAATTATTACCACCAAGAAAGTCGTTTGAAAGTTCACAAGAGTTGAAAAAGAACTCTGTAGTTAGAGCATCTAATGTTTTAATAGTTGAATCATCGTAGACTGAGAAAACCAGTGCGGGGTCACCAACAATATTCTGTAGATTACTTATGTCCGCACCTTCTCCTAAAGCGATGGAATATATTGACCTGCCCTTTTCAACCATACTGTCCAGTGCAGCTCTCATCTCATCAGTGACGTGGTCATGACCATCGGATAAAACAATAACTATTTCTCTACTTCCAGATTCTCTGGTTGTATTAAAAATATGTTTGTCAGTGTAGTTTAAGGCTTCAAGCAGCTTTGATTTATCACATGAATTTGATTCCGATAGACAATATCCATCGGACTGTACAAGCCTTTGAATCGAGAATAGGAAGTCTTGTTTTGTTTCTTCATCATTTAAACCTCTGTAAACCTGAGCATCGGCTTCCACACCATATGTTACTAAAGCAATTCTCACGGTGTTTTTTTCAGTTTCCATTTGTGATGTCTTGTCAGTAAGATATGTTATTGCGTTTAAACCAGTTTGAAAATCATTAGCCGACATTTTGGCGGACATGTCTAATAAGAAAACAATGTCCGATGATGTCATCCAAGAGCATTCTGAAATATACAGTTTGGAGTCAAACGATTTATTGGTTACTTAAAATAAATGTTTTATGGAAGTTGGAATATGAAAATCAAAAGATTTGACCAATAGAAATATAACAACGCCAAATATGTTCATTTAGCATTTACATTAATATATATGTGGATTTTACTTACCGTCACATGTTAGGTGGACCAGTTCTTTCACAACGGTGTACAACGCATCAAAGTTTTGCACAGAATAAACAAACTTACGTCCAGTATATTCCGTCGATGCTATATTTATCAATTCCTCATGAGATACTTCCTTGCCTATTCCTGAAAAAAATATTTGAAAATGTCACCATAACTGTGAAACACATCTTATTAAAAACCGTTTACTTCAGCATACATTTGGCCTCTTTCACAATTATTTTGAATTTATAGGTAACTAATGAATTATGGTTAAGATAGTTTTGAAATCTAAAGAAAATGTATTGCATGTTCATGGTCAATGATTGTGCTCACATTTAAATAAAACTTTTACTTTATTTGTAATTTATCAAAACTACTAAGTTAATACAACAAAATATCGTGAACGCATAACGATCTGAAGAATGGGTGATACTTCGGAAGAATTTATCACAACAAAATTACATGAAAACTGCAGGCTTGGTTTGACCGATTCTTTACGTGATGGATAATGAAAAAGTGCAAAAGCCATCACACACCACACCAAATTGAGCAGTACTTAATTTTCAACCCTTGAGTGCTAGAATCTAGGATCCCGAAGGGCAAGGAAAAAAACATGACAACACCTAAATGAAGTATCGGGCAAATATGTGCCACACAGCACTTGGCACCTGCTGTTGAGATGTATAAAGCATAAAGTCACATATTTTTTACAATTCTAATGTTATATAAATACCGATAGCTAAAACGTGGTCTATTGTTGTTTTCAAATTCCTAGCCGCTTCAGCAGTAGCCCTTCTATTAGTGGACATACCATCGGTCAAGACAAAAGCGTAACGTTTTGCGACATGACCAAATGGTCTCAACCTTGAAGTATTGTCAAAAACCTCTTTTGCTTTTTTCAAGCCCATTTGGTCCTGTAAAACGTTGCCCTGGTCTGTTTTTTTATTTGTCTGATCGCAATCTTTTAATGTGATATTTATCAGTAATAATGTCCTAATGAATCTCGGTTACTGCTTCAAAAGAATATGTGACAACAGCCACTTGTAGATTTCTCTCTCCAATGACAATTCTGTCAATAAACTTATTGATAAATTCTAGTTGTTTTCCAAATTCTTCTTTTGTTTGGCTTGCCGACGAGTCGAGCACAAATACAAGATCGGCTACTGATGGCTGACATATCCCTGAAAGAATACTTAACTTTTATGAGATCTGTTTACTAGATTTAGCAATATGTTTTGTCTCTAAACTGTTACGAGAGTAATTATAATTTTGTTAGATCTTAAATCATTTTTATTATTTACTGAAACAAAGTGATGCTTTAAATTTAATAATCGCATATGCATGTGTTGTCTTATCTATGGAACAAATTCGTGAATTATTCTATAAAATGTAATGATCTTCATATACAAACTGCACACGATGGACATTTGTTATACCTGTTTCACAGTAAATGCCGTACAATCTAGGTGGACAATCACACGAGAAAGAGTTAACCCAATCACGACATGTGGCTCCATTCTGGCACGGTGAACTCTGACATTCATCAATATCTTTAAACGAACAAGATAATGAATCAGTTTGAAATGAAATGATATTTTAATGCCTAACGTATCTAATTAAATTGTAAAGTCCAAAATTTATTCACAAATTAAATGTCAATGATTTGTAATGTAGTAAAATTATATAACAAATTAGGCCAAAATTATGTTTGTTTACCCTTCCTGACCCATTAAAATTAGAGTTGGGTAGGTAGAAAGGTAGGAAAATTATTTTTTTACATGTGCATAATAATAAAAAATCTGCATAAATGTATAATGAACTATCAAAATTAATTTATTAAATGCAATAATATATGTACCTGCATTACCATTTTCATAACAGATATATGCAACAATTTAATAACTATGCTAGCTGTCTAAAAGTACAATGTTTATTGCTTGTTCAAGGATATTTTCTGAATGTTTTTATATTAGCGCGCCTGTTTGTTTAAGTATGTGGTTAGATATATTTCCAAATACTGTTAATTTACATTTCAAGATATAACAGCGACCACCTAAAATAACTATTCAAAACAAACTGAGTATATAAAACAAATTAATTTACCCATTTTTTTCACTTCCTCTAAATCTGCTATTGCTTGCCTCGCTCATTATTTACATTGCACAAACAGATGTGTTATGTTTAATTTAAAGCATGGAAACCACACTTCAAATCTCTTTATGGAGTGAAACTTGTTGAAACTAATATATAGTGTGAAAAAGATAATAAAGGGCACGTGATGCCTCAAAAACAAATAGAATTTCCTTATTAAGAAAAAAATATAATTGTTTTAGAGCATGTTAGTTGCTTTTTACCCGCAATTAGCTGCGCTGAATGTTAACTTACTCGTCATAAAAGTAGCAAAAGTGTAAACAAAGTAGAATTTTGACTTCATACAAAACACTAAATCACTACAACAGTTTTGTCAGTAAATATTTAGGTCGTAAGGGCGTAAGGTGTAATTTATTTGCACTTTTTTATAACTGTTGTTGGATTGAGTAGCTTGGGTAGCACAATTTTCCTTTTAATCCATATTGTATCATAAATGAACGTAGCCATTATTGTAGAAGAAGAAGAAGAAGAAGTAGAACTGTTATTATTGCCAACAAGTTAATGATTCAAAACGTCCTAAATTGTATCTTAAGACTCATTTTACTATCTATCCAGGACTTTTAAATCATATTTCTTTATAATCAGTAAACACATGGTTGTGTTAAGTACATCAACAATACATCTTTTACCCCCACTGGTTCTATAAATGTATTTGAACAATGATATTTAGTCCTTTCTGCAAGAGAAATGTTTTGTCGCTGTTACATAATTTAAAGATATTTTTTATATATCTTGTCATTTCAAAAACAGATAATTTATAAATAAGTCCTACAAAGCTTTGCTTGAACTATTGGCTGACATTTTTGATATATTTTTTTTATGTTATCCTTGGTCATAATACAAACGTCCATGATAATTCATTAACATTTCTGTTCCTGTCTTTCAGTTCATTTTCTAAATAAAATTAAAGATTTGGCAAGGCTTTAAGTAAAAAAAAAATATTTAAAAATATTTACTCATTACCAATCCTTAAAAATGTGTACAAAACGCCTTTTAGAACATAAAGATCTCTAGTTTGAAAACACATTCTGTCGTATGTACATGCAAGGAGTACAAGTACACAACCAGTGTTCAGCGGTAACCATGCAATTACCATTTACACAAAATGATGCATCACACATCGCTGTAATGTTCATCATTTAGAACTAATGCTTATTTTATTCTTAAGCACATACCAGTGTCACACGTTGACCCTGTGTATCCAGGCTGACAAATACAGAACCAATTGCCGCTAGAAACCATACATACTCCACCGTTCATGCACGGAGACGTCTCACATATTGCTGAAATAAAGACAAGCAAAATAAAAACAAAACATGCACATGAAGAAAACAGATCCACGTCTCGTTCAAAACAAATTTCTGAAGCAGAATATTGTTTTACTAAATTTCAGCTTTTCAATGTCCATTTTACCACTTACAATCAAATTGTACCATGAAAATTATATAAGTCGTAGGTTGTCAACATTGTTATGAAATATGTGTAGTAAATAGGAAGTTTTGAATGTTTGAATGTTTCAAAAGGCATTATTTGTAAAGATATTATGAATTTAACATTTCGTGTAAATAAAGAGAGGTAATTAGAAATTTATTTTCGATAAAGTCTTAGCCAGTTTTTACAATAAAGAAATGAATAATTTCACTATAACGTTTAATTATATGTAATGTAAATAAACATTTGCTTTACATATTTAACTCATTCTTTGATGCTTGGAAATTGTTTTAGAAGAATAATTATATACATATATAAAATCACTTAAATCTTGTTAAAGTCACTTAAATCGTCTTAATTACAACATACAGGACCTTTATGTCCGTTCTAGAAGGTGTGGACAGTAGTTTGCACTTGAAAGTGGCGTCCATGAACATGTTCAATCAAACAGAGCCTGCAACATTTTCAATTTTGCCGTTTTGGACTTTCGTTACGGATTCTTATTCTTTCATATTTAATTTATGTGTTATCAATGGGACATTTAGACAAAGACTGTACTCACGTGTCATGCAGTAATACCCTGTGTATATAGCAGGACACTCACACTTGTACCCAGCTGTGCATGAACCGCCATTATAACAGACACATCCGTCAAGATCTATTTGCAAGTAATTTGAAAGACAAGCAGACTCACTATTAATTCAATGCTTTTTACTTTTAAAGAATTATCGACACATGTAATGGAAAGTATGTGGAAAAAAATGTACTGAATCACAAGAAGTATGACATACTAGTAGAAAATGTATACTTTTATTCAACCTAAAAGCTTTAAAAGCGTTACGTTACTAATGTTACTCCGATTTGACGATCAGAATAGATATCTTTCGATCAGCATAAAATAAATTATCATTGTCTTACAGGAATAATTTTGCTGCTTGATGTCAGTACATGACAACAACAAAGGGCTCACCTTCGCATGCTGACATTGTGATCGGTCCCTCTAGATATTGAAGTGAAGTATAGCTGGCCGTGTTGAAATAGTACGATGGATATGTTGCCGCCCTTTGTAATTCTTCAACGTTAACACCTGACCCAACACCAGCTGTATAGATGGTTATGCCCATGTTCTTAAGCCTTAGTGCAGCATCAATACTCTCCTGTATATTACTTGAATGTCCTTGAATATAATGTGTTTTACGTGCAATGTCATTAAGGGACATTCATACTTACATCGGAAGGATCCAATAAACATGAAAATTAAAAAAAAAACACAATCGAGTTTTAACTACTCAAAATAAAGACATCGTGTTGTTTTTTTCGTTTTGACAAAGAACTTTCTGGATAAATAGGATGTGTCTATAAAACATATGAATAAATTCTATGTAATAAATAAAGATATAAAAATGAAGGAGAAACGGAAATCCGTTTACCATCTGTCATAAGAATAAATATCCCAGTGACACTTCCTCTGCGGCCTGGACTTGAAATCTGAAACATTTGAGCTGCAGTGTCAAAGGCGGTTTGAATATTTGTACCTCCATTTGGATACCTGAAAAAAATACCAAGAGCAACGGAAATATCTAATCTCTAGCCATCGTAGTTTAACACAATGAAACGTAAATGTGGTCCCCTATATAAGTCTATGTATATCAAGTAATCCCCGGGTGGGACCAATTTTGATCGCAGGTAAGCCAAACCTGTGTTCTGCTAATTGTCTTATCATAAGCAATATGTCCGCCAATTTTTTTAATTTCTTTCTATAGGTTCAAAAGTTAAATAGCGGACACGGAATTTTGTAATTGACGTACGGACGACCTGGTCATCAACGGCTTTATAAAACTACCATTAAGTCTAGCAGCACTTTCTTAATCAAACTTCAGTATATAAACATCAAAATGAGTTTTATAATAGAACTTTGAAACAACAATAAATGTGTTAATACGGCGAAATCATGGAACCTCCGAGTGACATTTTCATGTCGTTCTTTGACAAACAGTATTTGTTCTCCAAATGTTCTTATCAACTTTATTTATTCATTTACTTATCTTCAAAACTAAAGTGTAGACTTTAATTAAATTATAATGTTCATATTTATTACGAGTCGCTTTTGTTTACATTAAGAAAATACTTGTAGCTTATATGTACTAACAGACCATCGGTATATGTATAAATTGAATAAATGGTTTCATATTAACTGGTCTAAACGCCCTCTTTCAATTCTGGAACGCTCTGGTATGTATTAAGTCAAATCTTTCCAAAAGCATTGTTAAAATAATCGTGCAACTTGTGTGGCGAAGGACATAGGGAAAACGTCAACAAGTCGGGACACAAGTTCAGAGAGTAAGTAAACTGTGAGGCACCAACACTTCCAGAACCATCAAGAGCAAATATGATGTCTGCTTGCCTTGCGTTGTGACACTCTAAAACAAACAAAAAGCAGAAGACATACAGTAAAACTCCGCTTATAACGAACTCACTGGGACATTCAAAACCTGTTCCTTATAGCGAATTAGTTCCTTGTATCAGAGTTTTTATAGCGAACAGATTACATATAACGAACTGATTGTTTACCATTGTCCGCCATTTTTGAAGAGCATTTGATTAAGAAATAGAAATATTATCATTTATTTATATTTTAGACACAATACCCGAGAGCGTACTTTTTGGAATTTGAAAACCATTGCTATTTCAGTTTTAGTTTTACTCCCTATCTCAATTTCACATAAAAATTCTAAACTCTTTTCGTTTTCTTTCCATGAAGAAAGAATAAAATAAAACAAGATTTTTCGATTTTCTTTCCTTTTAATTGAGTATCTTCTATTATAATTTTACTTTTGGTGACTTTTAAACTAATGTAAGATAAGATTCTTTCATTTAAATCAAGCGTACTTTGCAGTTTGCAATTGATCATGCTTGCAAGCATGCATGATTATGTTGAAACCGATATAAATTATTATAATTATTTACTCGAGCAAACTATTGAAGAAATAAATAAATAACCGTTTATCTGGTGAAAAGAGCTCATGCTAAAAATATCCTAAATAGAAAACATATACAAATTCATTTGAATATATGTATTGAAGTATATAAACGATAAACGATACATTCGCCCGAGTTTAATCCGTGCGAAGAAACGAAAGTTAAAATGCGGATCTATTTACAAATAGCAATATTCTGGAGTCGTTATAAAATGTAATTTTCTGTACATTAACTAAATTGGGACTAAGAAATGAGTTCCTTATACGCGATAATCCTTAAACCGTGTTCGCTATACCCATATATTTTATTATTAAATAAAGAAGGGCAAAATTCGGGCAAAAATATGTTGTTCCCTATAACCGGAAGTTCGCTATAACCGTGATCGCTATAAGTGCAGTTTACTGTATATGGTGGCACATCCTTCAAAGATAAGGTATGGCCCGAGATTTTGACCAAAGAATGAAAGGGTTTAATTTGTTAACGTCTTATATCAATAGCAAAATTTGGGTCAGCCAATTTCGTTCCTATCCACTGCTTCTTTATTACGACTTGTTATTCATTATTGTGTTAATACGCTCCGATAAATTTAACAAAACAAAGACCGGGTGAATTGAAAAATATATAAGATACAAGATCGAATTACCAGCACTTTGCCGTTTCCAAAAATAAAATAAAAAGTCGTTTGCTTTTTTGAAAAGTCGTTAACATAAATATTTATCGATAACACCATTTTAAAACAATTTTCCTAGCTTTGTTATCATTTTAAAAGAAATCTCTTAAAACGGTAAAATTGAACATATTACAGGTTTTGGTTGATTGAGTCTCTTCTTCAAATTCTATCAAATTTTGCTTAAGATTTGTTGTTTTGGACAATTTTAGGGATTCTTAATTTCTCTATTTACTTATTTCCGCCAAATGATTTCCCATTTAGGGCACATGCATTTATTTAGTCGCGGATCATACGCCCCTTTTCATGGAATAGTACGAACGTGTCTCATTGAAGGTTCTATGATATCCGCCGTATGAACACATTTGCGGATGTTTCAAATTTTCACCATTTTCATAATTAAATGTTACATTCTGCTGAAGAGGGGAATTGACGGTAGTTTGCATGTTCCAGTATCTCCCATGAACAGGGAGTAATCAAACCTAACCTGCAACATTTTCAATTTCACCTTTTTGAGGTTCTTTAGAGATTCTGTTTCAATCTATTTTAAAAGCGTGTACTTTACCTCTCTATAAATATAACAAACATTTAACAAAGCATCAAAGACAAAATGACTCTACTTACCCTGTGCGAAAGTTTTAAATCTGAAACACGCACAAATATATACGAATATCAAAATATAGAACTTAAATCCCATAGTGAAATTAATAGAGAAAAATAAACGCTCTGAGCACTTATACTTCCCATTGAAGCCCAGTAAGAATGCAATATTATAATTCGTTGAATTGAAAGGTACGGGTCACTGAAAGCGACAAAATAAATACATAGCTGTCGTTCAATTTTAAGTTAAAAGGGTATGATTGTGATTTCATTTAAAAACAGCATTCTATATCTAATACATCTGCTTATGATATTATGATATAAGGGAGGCAAGGGTATAATTAGCAACACATTCTTTGTATAAGTTTGGTAGTGTAAACATAAAATGTAATCTGGGAATTTCTTAGATACGGATATAAATCGTCAAATCATCATTTTTTGGTAACTAATATATTTTTGATTCTAAATAAATATAAATTTTTACAATACTACCATGTATATTTCACAGTTTAGAATGGCCAATTATTTAAATTGGTAAATCATTGATGTCTAATTCCGAAAACTAAATTTTATTTTTAAGCTACAGTTAACAAAAATCAATTTCCTGTCTCTAAGTGATACAATCAAGTATTCAATTGGTATGTCTTAAACTATAAGATAAAAAGTATATCCAGTCGAGTTTGAAAAAAAACAAAACCCATAAGACAAACTAATGCGATTCAATGTACGGAGAAAGCATCGAACATAAAATATAGTAAAACAAATCAACAAAGGCGGCACTTATTGACGCCAACCCCAACACACACAAACAAGACAGCCGGAAGCCTGAAAACCAAAACAAAAAATCCGACAGGCACAAGCAGAACACGAGAGATAATCATTAAACAATACATAATCCATTATCGTGTAACATTGAAATGCATTAAGAATCAACCGTTAATGTGTTAAAAGACTTGATTGTAATGCATTGAAATGCAATTTTAAAGGTAAACTTTTTCTTATTTCATAAAAGAATCAAGACTACTAAGGTAATGTTAAATCAATCACCTCTTATTTCTTATTCTGGGCGAGCTCGAACACTCAGCGGAGAGCAGGTGTTTGCGGTCGAGGGCCAACTTTTCGTCATGACGCCCCCACCTCTCTTGCGTTGAGTTCTAAGTTGTACGAACCCAGGTTATTTCGTTACTAAGGACATATAACTTTAAATTGTTTAAAAAAATCATTCATGATAAAAATGACATTAATTTATTCTATAGTAATATAAATTGTGCGATAGAATTTTAGTATTTGTAAATGATATTATTCACTATACAAATTTGCTCAAAACAACCACCATGTACAAGTAGTAAAAACATTTGCCAGCGATTTCAGCAGGAAGTAAAATGTAACAAGTGCCCCTAGATTGAACTTATTAAAACTGAATTTAAAATATCAAACATTAAACAAAACACAGCTTACTTACAAACTGATATAAATAGAACAGAACAGAAAATTTATTCAAATCTGGAAAAAATTTGATCCTTCGGAATTCAACAAAATTACATGAAAATTGCAGACTCGATTTAATTGAGTCTGAACATGAGTTATAACGCAAAAAGTGCAACATCCCTCACGCCCCTAATACCGACTTCAGCGGAAGTCATTTTTTCAAACGAGCGGTAATCAAATTTCAACACTTAAAAGGGTTGGAATCAATGATCCCGAAAACCACAAAAATATAACAACACTTAAGTGAAGTACGGGGTAACTTTTTATAGCTGCCAAAGACTTGTACATGGTACATCATAAATACAGTAAATGGTTATTCATTAAATATTAATTTACAATAATCTCTTTATGTTCAGGAAGAAAAATGCATAACGAGCTACCATTTGGTACTCGTTTGAACTGATTTATGGTTATATATATCTCTAATCTTAAGTAAAACATAGTCTCCCGATGAAAAACCCAATAAAGTTTAAAATTAAGACCTAAAATTTTTTGGTTTCATGATTTTTTTACCTTTTCTTTCCGGGTTTGCAATCAAATTTTTTACCAATATGTTTATCTATATGGGTGTTTTTGGTTTCAAAAAAACTTTTAAATTTTGGAAATTATCAATAAAATACTTTAATTTCATTCAAGTGCAGTTTTTGGGGGGTTCAACCTAAAAAAAATCATGTATACTCCCAAATAGAATAAAATGTGAAATTGTCCCCGGGGTAAAATATAATATAAAGCAGAAACCCCCCCCAAAATTTTAAAATTAGCGTTAAATTTTGAAAAATTTAAAAAATAGATAAAGACTAAAAAAAATTTTAAAAAATGTCCCCGGGAATATTGATTTGCACTGGAAAATTTTGGCAGGGTAAACAAAAGCAACATATTAATTACACAATGAATTATTCAAAACTTTAATTGAATTTAGCTTCCTAAGAGAATATAACATATTCAATATGTAAAAGAGAACGTGAAACATACAAAAGCCACATACTGGGAAAATAGACACATTTGTTAAAATAAAATATTATATATTTCTATACACTATCAAGAAAGTCGTTTGAAAGGTCACAAGAGTTGAAAAAAAACTCTGTTGTTAGTGCATCTAATATTTGAATAGTTGAATCATCGTATACTGAGAAAACCAGCGCGGGGTCACCAACAATATTCTGTAGATTACTTATGTCTGCACGTTCCCCTAGAGCGATGGAATATATTGACCTGCCCTTTTCAACCATACTGTCCAGTACAGCTCTCATCTCATCACTGACGTGGTCATGACCATCGGATAAAACAATAACTATTTCTCTACTTCCAGATTCTCTGGTTGTATTAAAAATATGTTTGTCAGTGTAGTTTAAGGCTTCAAGCAGCTTTGATTTATTACACGAATTTGATTGCGACAGACAATATCCATCGGACTGTACAAGCTTTTGAATAGAGAATAGGAAAACTTGTTTTGTTTCTTCATCATTTAAACCTCTGTATAACTGAGCGTCGGCTTCCACACCGTATGTTACTAAAGCAATTCTCACGGTGTTATTTTCAGTTTCCATTTGTGATGTCTTGTCAGTAAGATATGTTATTGCATTTAAACCAGTTTGGAAATCATTAGCCGACATTTTGGCGGACATGTCTAATAAGAAAACAATGTCCGAAGATGTCTTCCATGAGCATTCTGAAAAATATATTTGGAATCAAGTGATTTATTGATAAAATAAGATAAATGTTTTATAGAAGTTCAATAAAAATATATCAATTGTAATCTCCTCCCCAAAATGTTCATTTATCATATACCTGTGCTGCTTTTGCGAGTATTGCACGGTCCTGCATATATTTTGACGTGATGTCATTTGCGTTATACAATACATAGCGTAGAGAGGCGTTAAATGTTAGCGTTATACTATTGGCAATTCAATGAATACTGATTCTTTTTCACTTTTAATAGTATTTATTTTAGGTATTAGAAAAATTGAATATTATATTTATTACTGAATTGTTTGAACTCGTTTAATAAAGAAATATCCAGCTCGCCAGAGACTAACATAATGTAATTTTATTCAACTCGTGCAATAAATTCTGTATTGAATCTACACTAATTTAATATCTTCTATACATTGATATTTAAGTGGTTTTACTTACCTTCACATGTTAGGTGGACCAGTTCTTTTATCACGGTGTACAATGCATCAAAGTTTTGCACAGAATAAACAAACTTACGCCCAGTATTTTCCGTCGTTGCTATATTTATAAGTTCTTGATGAGATACTTCTTTGCCTATTCCTGAAGGATATAATTTAAGATATGGCACCATTGCTATGAAAGACATCTTAACATTGCGTCTAAAACAATTTAATCAGCTTAACAACTGACAGCTTTAACAATCGTATGTGTGGATAGGTAACTCATAAATTGTGGTAGAAATACATTTGAAAATCTTAAAAAGGTATTGCATGTTTATAGTACAAATGGTTGTGCTTACATTTATTTGCAATATGTTTTTACTGTACTTGTAAATGTTAAACACTAATCATGTTATAATACAGAAAATTTCGTGAACGTTTTAAATCATGGCCTATTGCATATATGATTTTCAATTTGAGATCTTATTTGTATACCGATAGCTAAAACGTGGGTTACTGTCGTTTTCAATCTTCGAGCCGCTTCAGCAGTAGCCCTTCTATTGGTGGACATACCATCGGTCAAGACAAAAGCGTATCGTTTTGCGAAATGACCAAATGGTCTAAATCTTGAAGTACTGTCAAAAACCTCTTTTGCTTTTTCAAGCCCTTTGTTTGTAAACGTTGCTCCTGGTCTGTATTTAATTTGTCGTATCGCATCTTTTAATGTGATATTATCAGTATATTGTCCTAATGAAATCTCGGTTACTGCTTCAAAAGAATATGTGACAACAGCCACTTGTAGATTTCTCTCTCCAATGACAATTCTGTCAATAAACTTATTGATAAATTCTAATTGTTTTCCAAATTCTTCTTTTGTCTGGCTTGCCGACGAGTCGAGCACAAAGACAAGATCAGCTACTGAAGGCTGGCATATGCCTTAAAGTATACGTAAAAAGATCTTTTTGTTAAATTTAGCAAATATCTTTTGTTAATAAACAGTGGCAGAAGTAATTATTATTTTGTTCGCTATTATACTTTTTTTACAAAATTTATCTTGGCAAAGTGATTTAATTTTAACAATCACATATGCATGTGCTATGGATAAAATTTGTGAAATATTGTTTAATATATTATGTTCTTCATATACAAATTGCACACGATGGACATTTGTTATACCTGTTTCACAGTAAATGCCGTAATATCTAGGTGGACAATCACACGAGAAAGCATTAACCCAATCACGACATGTGGCTCCATTCTGGCAAGGTGAACTCTCGCATTCATCAATATCTTTAAACAAGCAAGATAATAAATTAACTACGTAAAATAAAATGATGTTATATGATTCATAAATGGTTTTCTAGACATCATTCCAGACCCCATTGTAAAAGATAATTTTAGTTATTGAAATTGTAGTAAATATGTATACCTCTTTATGGAAAGCACTTACTTAAAATGTCGAAAACTATGCATCCACACATTCATGCACGTACAATATATTAAATGATTGTGGATTATGCATATGTTTTTATATCTCACTCCAAGCAGCTATCAGACTTTTAACAGTTTTTTATTTGTTGATAACCAATATCAATGGATCAATTTTGATTGATTTGACAATGATTTGTAAAACAAAATTGTTTACATGAATGGTTAGGTTGTGTAACCTCTGTTTTTATATTAAACGCTATTTCCAGATTTTAAAAATAGAAAAGAAAAGAAAAGCAAAAAAAAATATGATGTAGTCATATTGAAAAAAGTTGTTAATTTAAAACATCCTTTTTATATTTCACACATCTTCTACTGTCGTTTTCATTATTTATATTCCAAACGTAGAGATTGTGTCATGTTAATACAGAGATGACTGCGGAATCCGATAATGAAAATTTATTATACCTTTCTCAAGATAAACACCCATAACCTTCTGACAAAGCCGCGGTAGGCTAAAAGGTTTACTATTCATTCAGTGACTGATTTAATTTCACAATTTAAAATTTGAAAGTTCTGGTACTTTAAACATTTGTTTTTAAAATGATTGATAGAAAAAATGATGGTAAGGATCAAAACAATTAACTTAACAGAAGTAAAAGTAACATATAGACAAATAGCCAATTTGTTTTTATCAAGCTATGCTATGTTGATAATATCAATACACGTGGCGTCCGTTAATGCATTTTGTGATTTGTTTAAAATAAGTCCATTTTGTTAGATAATTAGGTATGTTAGCAAGTTAGTAAGTAATGTAACGCATTCTTCCTTCGTTTTTAATTCATTAGTCAACCTCATTAAATGCCCTTACACTTGTCAATATAAGGACCACAAATCAATTTAATTCTAAAAACATACTAAATTCACAGGTTCTTCCAGTGTATCCAGGTATACAAGTACACAGCCAGTTGTCACCGGTGATGCTGCAATCACCATGTTCGCAGGGTGCTGTATCACATATTGCTGTAATATTCATGTCAATCATTTTAAACAAGACATGGAAGTAATCATTATTTATTCTATTGTTACATGATAGCTTCCTTGGTTGGTGTCAAGGTCCCATCGTTTACGCCATGAGTGGGAAGGATATCCCAACCATTTCTATTTATGAGTACCTTAGTAACGGTTTGTACGCATACACATATTTCCTTATGCGACATCATTAGAAGCGGTCCTAAAGCGGTGCCTGACAGACTTTAAAAACTGAATCAAGTCTATTATAGTCCGCCCGTTAAGCTCAATAGGGAGGGCATCGGATGAGTAATCCAGGGGTCGCTGGTTTGCTCCTCGGGCAAGTCGTAAAGACTGCCACAATAGATCGCAGTGTCTAATTTGTCTCTAGCCGAAGAATCAGAAATCATGTGAAATCTATAAACGATAACTTGCTAAAAACAATGTTATTTAGGTTAATTATTCGAAAAGCTGGTAAGTTGATCGACCATTTAAAATTCGGTGTATAAATCGGAAATAAAACAACAACAAAAAAACAAAAAAAAACACCAATTGTCCGTAGATATTATTTGTATATTGTAAATAAAAGACAATCATCTGTAAGTGTCAAGACTTATGAATTTTATTTTATCTCATTTTCCCAGGAAGTTAAGTCAAAATGAGAAAATGAGAAAAGTGGAAAGTCCAATTGCTTGGACAGTCGAGCATAGGTGTATTTATTATTAAGTACACACCTTCGTTAATGACAAACATGATTGTACTTACATGTCTCGCAATGAAATCCTGTATATATTACTGGACAGTCACATTTATATCCAGGATTTGTTGCTGTACAAGTAGCGCCATTATAGCATTCGCATTCTTTATTTACATGAAATAAAACATGATATAAAACAGAGACAATCTCATTACCGCCTTCATTGATTACATGGCATGCATTCAGAAATAAGAATATTTAAGAACAATGTTGCTTCTGATCGTGACGCACTGATATGACAGTCAATAAATATGACCTCAATTATATTTTAGAAATTTACAATAACTTTATATTGATAATACAGCTATAATGTCCGTTCTTCATATAAAACACGAAAACATGTGTCTCGCGGTAGCACTTAGCTCGAAGATTGTGAGTGTTAAAACTTTCACATTTCATGAGTATAAGTGGATGATTATTCATCTTTGTGAATTGTAAGGAAAGTTAAAACTAAAAAATGAAATTGGCTTAAAGTTTGAAAGTTAAACTCTTTTAAGGGCAGGAAAAGACAGACCCGGCATTCTCGTGTTATGTTGTGGCCATGATGATTGAAACCGTTATAAAATGTCGATGGTAGTTGTTACCCAATTATTTTATATTATATAGTAATTATAACCCATATACATGGAAATGACATAGAAAAAATACACATAAAATGGCTAAATTGTTATTTGATTGAACTTCTTGAAATATAATGAATGTGTTCATGCCCTTTTAATATCAATGTCTAAAATGTGTTCAATCATCTGCTCAAAAAAGGTAATACATAAAATTAATCTGAAAAATGAAATATATTAAATTAATCTCAAAAAGCGTGTGATCATTATTTCGATTTTAAAGATTATTACGAAGAACAATTAGGAAAAAGTCATAATTTATGATTTTTTATCTTCTAGCATCTAATAAAATCAAGAACATGTTAAATATCTGGAAAAATGTGTGAGTTTGAATTCTAAATTACATACTAGCATCACATACTGTTCCGACGTAACCAGACTCACATGTACAAAACCAATTGTCGCCAGTAACGCTACAGTGGCCGTTTTTACACACGTTTGTGTCACATATTGCTGAAATTTGAAACAGCGGATGGTAAAAATATGTTCAATAAATCAGATAATCAGTTAAAGACAAACTTTCTAACTAAACTACGTGCTTTGAAATGTTTTTGGAAAACAATATTTTGGCCTATTGTTTCTCTTATCTTACTAAACGATCATTTTATACAACACACGTCTGCGTTTCAATACATGCAAGACTTCTTATTCTAAATAATAAATAAACTGTTATTATAATAATCCAACCGCAATCAATAGAGGGGATTTAAAAGTAAATTCATAAGGTTTTTGAATTTGTCATTAACATTCATAATTATGTAATGTAATTGTTATACTCACGAGTTTCGCAATAAGATCCTGTATATGCTCCTGTACATATACATTTATTTACTAGGTATTCTGATGTACAGGTCCCACCATTGTAACATATGCACCCATTGATATCTGTGTTTATGAAAAATTTAAGAGTTCGATAATGTATGAAGATAGTTCGATAACATAACAAAAGAAGTAATTGATGTTAAACGTTAATTCGATAACTTTTAGCATGTAAGACACTATTACTAAGCTACGCGTGATTAGTTTTAGAGAACAAATCAGTTTTTTATCAACTAGCCCCTACAGGTATTTAAAGTTCAAGGGAAATAAAATATGTAAATAAGTTTACCTTTACATGCTGACTGAGTGATCGGTCCCGTGAGTTTATTTAGTGAATCATAATCATCGGTGCTGAAGTAATACGATATATTAGATGCAATACCCTGTAATTCTTGAATGTTAACGCCATACCCGACGCCAGCTGTATAGATTATTATCTGTTTGTCCTTTAAACCTTTTGCAGCCTCGATACTTGCAGCAAAATCAGGCGTTTGCCCTAGATAGAAAACAAAATATCAATAACTTACATATTTCATTTTAGATATTATTTAACGACTGTGTCAATCATCGACATAAGCAAAACGACGCAAACATCAAACAAATAATAAAAAAAACAATTGCAGTTTTATTGAAGTTTTGAATACGGACAAGAGCAAAATAATCACCATCTGTCATAAGAATAAGTAACCCAGTGACATCCTGTCTCCGGCCAGTTGTTGTATTCTCAAACATTTGTTTTGCCACATTTAGGGCAGCTGGTATATCCTCTCCTCCCCTTGGAAACCTAAAGTAGAAACATGTTAGATACAAGTTACATTAATTAATTTTTAGAACCTCTGAATGGGAAACGTTTACAATTGTAAACTTGCAAATCAATATCTAATTCATTGATGATAGAAAGGGTTATGTTTACATACAGCATTTTGAATCCAACTTATGAAAGGTTAAAGATAAAACCTTTTGTATTTCAATAAAACTTTTTGGAAACTTTATATAAAGCAGCGGGAAGCGTTATTTCATTTCAATATAATATATATGAAATATTTACGGTGTATTTAAAATTGCTTGTTTTAACTGTGTCGATGTAGAGTGTGTATTCAAATTGAATTGAATACTAATAACACTACTGAAAATAACAAGTGCTACTTGTGTAGCTTGAGGTCCTATAGAGAAAACGTCAACAAGTCTTGTCACACAATCCAGGGCTTTGACAAATCCGTTATATCCTACACTTCCAGAACCATCAAGTAAAAATATGATGTCGGCCTGATTTGCATCCGTACATAATTCTGGAAGACAATGATATAAAACATAGTGTCGGTGACAGACCTTATTTGCAAAGTTTTCATCTTCAATAATTTTATAGCCTGTATTTATACCTATTTGATAACAATAACGAATGTTATGCATATGTGTATGTGCATATGTGCAATCTTCATATTAAAATGTATAAAGTTCATTCTCTGAAAGAATAATACATTTTAGTATTTAATCAAATAAAGGCAAACCAAAATAAAGGTAAAGTTTGAATAAGTAACTTTGTAATTAGTGCATTTTACAAACCTGAAATTGATACATCGTTAAGCAATCAACCTTGTCGAATGTTCTACTTTCACAAATATCCTTAATAGAATCCTTAAGCATATTTACATGAATTAAAAAATAATTTGTCAATACCTGCAAACATATCTACTCACCATTTGCGTAAGTTGTCAAATGAAAACAAAAATACACTTTGATGACCAAAAGAAGCCTAATTCTTAAATCCATTTGAATTTTTGTAATTTATAAATTTATAGAAATATTTAAGTAAGTTTTATACAAAAATGAAGACCTCGCTCATCGTTTTTAAATGTCGGAAATATCTTTACTTAGTATAGATCTTTACTCGCACTGATTTGCAGTCGAAATATTATATATAGGGTTAAGATTTAAAGCAAAACATTCGTTATTCAATTTGACAAGTGTAATGAGATAAGAAAAAAAGGTATGCAGTCTAAATCGTAAATTAAAATTTTGTCAACATGCAGTTTATTATAAGGGGGTGTTCAATCTGAAAGTTTCAATATTTTGTTAACTAAAAAAATAAATAAATCCACGGATGATGTCAATAATGGTGTTTACACTATTCCAGAAATATATGATATATACGATCTTGCTGAAACTTATTATCCACTTTGTCGATTAGAAATTCATAGCTAAACTCGAAAATGGCATCAAACCAGAAGTTAATGAAAATATGCTCAACTGTGCCTTAATTGATTGACATTTAGACCAATGTTATTAAAGTTAATGTATTCACGTTTAGTCCGTGACCTGTTTTATGTACTCGTATGCTCGTCAGTTGTGAGTCAATTCTATGGCGGCTGATTTCTGCCATTTCGTGTCTTCGCCCCTCAAATGCAAAGGCGAAGACACGATTATATGCTCACTCATCGGGTTTTTGTCTGCAACTTTTTAGGGCGTCGACATGAAGACACGATATATTGGCCAATTATCATGTTTTCGCTTTTCGCCTTTTGAGGCAAAGACAGGATGACACGACAAATATAGGGCGCCGATACTTAGATTTCTACCGACGATTATTCTACAGAAGAAGATGTCGTGTCTTATCGTTATTTCGCTTAAAATTAATCATGTCTTCGCCCCTCAAAAGTCGAAGGCGAAGACACGATAAGTAAGCATATCATAGTGTCTTCGTGTTTTCGCCTACGTCTTTTGTTGGGCGAAGACACACAACGGAAGAAATCAACCGCCATACTATTCATTCGGTGTGAGATCTAGTAAAGCAAATAAAGATTCATATTTAGACAACATAATGTAAACAATTTATTCCTAATAAAAAAGGTTGTTGAGTCATCGGCTCTGAAATAACAACCAGATTTTTGTGAGTGATCATAAAATTGATCGTACAAAATGTATTATTTTGCACATAAAGTAATTTATCGCCTGATAAATTATGGTTGGATAAGAAGATTTGAATAATATAATATATATATCAATTTATTGAACATAAAGCTTCAATCCGCTATTCGTTTCATTATCTGTTTACATTTATATTGACATATTGGGTGTCGTAATTTCTATATAAAAGCATACGACTTATCGCCTCTAAACTTTAACAACCTAAATCGTTACATAGTTAGAGTTTTCAAGCGTAATAGCGTTGTTGTAGAGAGTTTTCTTTGTAAGCGTAGAGACC